TTCAATCACTGACTGGAGGGAAACGAACGTTCAGGCCTGGAAACCGTGTGCTTGTCAGGGACTGTCTCTTTGGGCACCGAAGATGGACTGTTGTAGTCGTTTTCAAAAGAATCGGTCGGCTTATTTACAGCGTCCAGGTGGGATCATTAATATGGAAACGACATGTCAACCGACTGAGTGCCGGATCCCAAAAGCGGAAGAACAGTTACTAGACCTCAACTTGATGATTGAAACCTTTGACCTCCCAAGATCAGCACCGCTTTACATGTACCGTCCAAGACGGATCCATTGCTGCAACTGAGACGCCTGTCGCGCCAGAAGACTGGTGGAACCTTTTCAACTTGGTTTGCGCCGAAAATCCTACGTTGAACGGCCAAAATGGGGAGGTATCAGGAAGGTCAGATTCCTGAAAGCAACCCAGAACACTCGGAACCTACTGATACCCCAAATCTCCACCAAAATCTTAATAGGAAAGCCGGCAAGCATCCAGGCCAATCAAACATTCAAGCAATTCAGCAAAAGCCTGGATCGATGAAATTAAAATTCAAATCGCGTGAGATCTCTTGTAAGTGTAGCACTCGCACGCACTCGCTTGTTCGCAAGAAACCTGTCGTGTTCCTTATCGGTGAGTCTTTTTTCGGCACTAGGCGCTGGATCGGGAACAGCAGTCGGATGTGTTGAGTTTGACGAGTTACCGCCTGCCTAATTCGGAGTGGCGGGTTCCTAGAGATGAGCGGAGTGGTAGAAGATAGGAGGGAATGAAGTGTTTCATGAAAAGTTTGGCGTCTTCCAGGATGGGGTTCCCATACAACCTTGTGCTTGGTTGAATGCACTGAACGATATGGCGGCTAACTGACGTCAGATGCGACTGTACTGTCAGGTCTTATCTATACTATCTTACTGATTGTAGAAGTTATGGGCATCTCGGTCGTTTGTTGTAGGTTAGCTCTAGGTCTCCATACCTGTGCCGCTTCCAGTACAAGGATTTATTCAGATAAATTGACAGTTGTACGGTAGTGAATCACCAGTGTTCACCTATGGTGTTGGTGTCTATGATGATTATGATGGTAGCAATAATAGGACTGAACATTGGTGCTACTTGAGTCTTGAATAAATGTCCCCGCCGGTGCCGAACGTAATTCAGCCCGGCGGATTATCAGATATCAAGTCAAGCTCAGCGTGCTTGCCGACGGTGAAACCTGTTGGGCACAGAAGGCCAGTAGAATAGAATGTTCGGAATGCTGGAAGATTATTTCCGATGATGCTTGTGATCAGTCCCCAAAAACCACTGCTGAGTGAATCAGTCAATAAATTAGGAGCTCTTGACTGCCAGGTGAGCACTTTGAAGAGTAATTCTCATGGCCACCTGCCGTTACTCAGTCGGACTTAATTTGAAACCTGAGAGGTGAACCTGAACCCCCTATTGCCTTTGATGTTAATAACTGCACAGCGCCACCCCGCGCATGTTTCGGATAACCTCACACCCGCGCTGTTTAAAGTTGGAGATAAATTCTTCAGTCAACACTTGCGTGATCACTTTGTATTCATCTGGAAAATGGAGACTGTCCTAGACAACTGAGGAGAATCCGTGATAGTGCTCGTTTTCAAATAAGGGCCCGTAGTGAGTGTGGTGACCACAGGGGGATCAGCTTGGCCCCAGTCGTAACAACCTTCTTGCATCAATTGGTCTTCATCGCCTTACGGTGGCTCGTGAAGCAAATACTTGGGAATACCAAGGGGGATTCCGGCCCGGGTTGTGTTGACCATACCTTCACAATCTTTCAGATGCCGGAACAGTGCCATATGTATAAATGACCAACAATTCTGGTATTTCAGGATTTCCAAGGAACATCCGACTCAGTCCACCGGTCTGTTATCCTCAACACACTTTCTCAGCAGGGAACGCCACAGAAATACAATAAGTTCTTTGTATTCTCGGACTTCCTGGCATGTGAGTGTACACCTGGAGCTCTCCAAAAGCTCCTTTATACATCCTTTGACAAGGATGCCCACTCTTTCCATTCCCAATCAACGTCGTGATCGGCAGGATAATGTGACAAACGCTGGAAGGTCTTCGAAACCCTTGTGTTCAAGTATATGCTGGCGAAATATCACATAGTGTAAGGTGATGCTCTGGACGTACAGTCACTGAACACGCCACTCACAATGAAGTAATAGGCATTCGTCATTGTGGAGCGTTTTACGTATCTCGTAGGTTCTGTTGGCTCAGATTATGTGACAGATTATGTCAGTGTACAAATATTTAAGGGTGGGGTCGCGTTTTCCAGCTTTACTCACCTATGGTGGCAAAGCATTATATCGCTAAAGCTTAACGGACGTGTATTAGGTTACAGTAAAGGCTCTTGTTATACGGCTGTGAGTCATGGTCTCTTTGGGCATCGGGTGACAACCCACACAGCAGAATTGATATTTTAATACTTATGATCAGTTCTGGAATTAAATATTTGAGCAATAGTTGAAAACTGCGAAAGGGAAACTGTAGAGATACTGTCATCAGGAGACAGAGCCAGTTGAATTGAACGAAGTAGGCCCACGTACGGTGGGCTGAACTAGTCTCTAAAAGTTTCTGGTAAGTGATTAACAACCAGGTCAATGAAAATATGTGCCACCAGTGGGCTTCTGTAGGTTGATGATGATGGAAATCCAGGGAAACCGACGACACAGACCAGGGTCAATCATAAGAAGTTGTTATTCGTATGTATCGGTGTGTGTTGCTTACTGCTTGTTGGGTGTTATCATCTGGTTCAAGGTCATTTTTCCGGAGGTGGGTAGTACACAAGTGAATTCGGTAGCGTGTATATCGCGAGACGAACATATAACCCAGGGTTTGTGCAACTTACACTCATTCCTATGGCTTATATCAATATGAGGACGCACGTGACGGAGTAGCTGCAATGGAATGTTGTCTTTAATTTCAACGCCAGATAGTTTTTAGAGTCGGACGCCATCGGATACAACGATACGTCCCAACAAGCCTTCAGCTTGTCGTACAGAAAATATGCTTGTATTGGATGTAGAATATCCGTGACCTCTGGTGCTACATGTGTCGGCATTTGTGCAGCAGCGTAAGTTAACACTGCAGTGTATAAAGTTATGTTCGTAAATCGCAAGAAAGTTTCCGTTTGCAGGGACAACCCATTAGTTTGAGGTACCATATTCGGGTATTTTGAATGATGCGGAGCTTTCACTGGGCTGGAACGCATCATGTATGATTAGACACTTAAGTCTAACTATCCAGCTAGTGGGCGGTTTACCAGCGCTCATTATGCGTAGGTGCAATTTCAACGGGCCATCGCTCCTGCCTCACATTGTTCCTGAGGAATAAGCTGACTGTATAGAAACAAAGTGCCTTGTTAAATGCGTGATATTGGAATTTCCCCGGCCAACATTTCTCAGATTTACGAGATCTCAGATTTGCGAGAGATACTGCAGACCTTTTGAAATATTTTGTCGGCGTTTTATTATTCGCTTGGATAATAAATAGTAATAATAATAGTAATAACAACTAAATCTTTCTGCTTTAACACCCTTTCGGTGCCTAGCTGCCATGTCACCTGAAAGAGGCACGGGGGCTGAGATAAAGTTAGGTTACCCCAGCTTGGATTAACGATTCGAACCACACTGATTTGAGAGTTAAATCCAGAAAATTATCATCATTGTCAGCTGTAATAATCGCGTACTCGTCGTACAGTGGTTGTAGCTGCCGCAGTTTCGTTCACCGATGATTTGGGGAGAGGGGTAGGTAGCTGCGCATTGCAGGCGGGAGCTGATAAATTGAATTGAACTTGAATTCTTAAGCGCCATTGAGAGTTCGACTGGGCCATGTGTCCGGTCTCGAGACCCCCATCCAAGGAGATGACAATGACCAGCGCAGCTGAATTTGCTTGCAATGACTTTCATACTTCGTTGCCAAGTCATTGTGGCTCGTTTCCACCCTTTGGGCGGTTGTGAAAGGGGATCTTCGGGGAATTCGGTCAACTAGGGTACGGAGCACCTCACCAAACTAGAGAAACCTATGGAGTGTGAACAGTTCGTCTATCGTGGGCGAGTTATCTTTTCCGGAAACCATTCGAGGTACTTCAGCATTACTGATCCGGTGTTCCTACTAGACTCGGACAATGCTCCGAAGAAGCCGTTGATGGGAAAATGGATGGGAAATGGAGAAAAAAGTTTACTATATTGACATGGTCCTTATGTAAAGGGGGGTAGCAGTTTATTTTTACCAATCGGGCATTCAGCAACGTTTTGGTTTTCTGGTATTATGTATTTTACCGTGTATCCACAAAATCGTGTCCAGTGGAAAATTCTGACCACCCTCAGTACAGGCCTACCGGTTGGCCTCCTTTTTTGCACGCTACCTCCAACTGATGAATTCACCAGCAGTGACTTGCCGCTTGCTGCTTCTGTCTTCCGTGAAGTCGAACGCTAATGACTCTTCGTCACAAACATTTTTTGCTTCTATGCTTTTGTTTCTGAGATCTTTCGACATTGCTGCGCTTAGTTGACACGCTCTGTACTTCTTTGAGCGTGTTCACCGCAACTACCTCACATTGATACCACTTGATAAGTTTTCGTTGGCCCACCTACAGGTCGTTACTTGCGGTTACATGTTTGAAGTTATTATATGTTATCTCGAAAGCCAGTCTAAAGAATGTTACGCCCTACTGTCGTCAAAAACATTTCCCATCGTAGTCCTTCTGTCATTCTACGGTGCTTCTTTACTAAGAAGGTTTCATTGTTAAGGGGTCCGGAATATAGTCCGGTATTTTCCACACCAGTCTCATAGTAAAGTGTGCGGGACTCGAACGAGGTGGTCTCTTTACTGCTAAGGTCCCTGTTGGAAGAACCATTATAAGTCTAAATCAGTCCGTTTCAAGACTGTATTCGGTCTACTGAAACGAGTGAAACAGTGTCAAGAATTCTTATACGGTTAGGAATACAGCACAAAAACAAAGTATCTCACTACATACAATCGATGTTTAGTCGCTTCCGATCCTAAAAGTTGCAGCACCTGAAGTTGTTATGTTTTCTGGATTTGAGCGTTGAGTGCTCATATTTACTTGAAAGGTTTTGTTCTGGTCGTTAGTTCCCTCGACCTGCCTTCTTCGAAATCCCTGACATTTGATCACGCTAAGGGACATCTTTCGGAAGGCACTCATCCGCACCAGGTAGACGATAATGTTACAAGCGGTCTGTGTGAGCATGACACACCACATTATGTCGGAGATATTGAATGCCAGTGATGTTTGCTCCTGTGTGTTCGGTCTGCGGGAAAGGACAAATGCCGCATTGTAGGCAGCACTTTGCGGCAGCGCCGTGCACAACGTAACTAGTGTGATTACTACTAGAGTTTCGGATGCGGCCAAGTCCCGTCGATCCTTTGAACCAATCGACGAGGAAAGTTGGGCTCGTTTGTGCAGCAGTTGTCTGATCTTTACTAGAAAACAAATATTCAACACGCCTGTGCACAGTGGCTGAATCACACATGCATTTGAGAACAGTGCATGATAGACATCAAGTCCACTATATTTACTGTCAATCCAACACCACACTTTCTCTCCGATTGTCACCCACTCAACACATATGCCCAGTGGCAACATCATTACTCCGCTCAAGACAGTGACAGCAATCACGGCGTAGTAGGCGTGTCGCCTCTGGAAACGGAGCATTTTTACTGGCCAGTAGGTGCACATAAACCTGTCGCTCGCTGCCAACAACAGGAGGTTCGCGCTCAAAGTGGAACCGAACGAATAGGCGAAGCGATGTAGACGACATGCTTCTTGAGACTGGGAAAATGTGAAATAATAAACACGAGCTCTGGTCATAAATGGAAGTCCCTTTGCTGGAAAAAGCCACAACCAGCCCCATAACACATGGATCGCCGCGTTAGCTATTGCCAAAAATGCCAGGTATACAAGCTGTCGTGTCGGTCGTCGAAATCCGAGAAGAAACAGAACTGAAGTCCACACATTCGCCAGGAAGCCAAATGTGCATACGAATGGCAGGAGGTATCCAGAATAGATGCCTAGGATAGTGGACGAAACGCAGGTAGCCATACTGGCACCGGGAAGACCTTGTCGTACTTCTTCACACTGCACAAGCATATCATATGGTGTGTCGTAGAATGAATGGTTCTTCTGAAGTTCCAAGTATCTGCTCATTTTGGGAGTCTCCGTTTTGTTTATTTGGGCGGACATTTATACTGCTCCCACGCGTGTTGTAATTAGCGGATCAACCTGATCGTTATCTCTGCTCTTTGCATGTAGCGATTCATTAGCCTGAGGTCATTATTCGACCCTGATAATCATTCCTTGCGTCGCTGCTGTAATTGTCCTTTTCAGGCCGAGCACCGTGGATGGTAGAATGGGTGGGTTGATTGAGGTCAGCTTTTAGTTTGATTGTTTTCCCTCTATGGGTTTCTAAATATGCCCGTACTTTGTAGACTTTCATCGTGAAGCCGTAGGTCCTTCGTTAGTGCCAAAGCCCAGATTCCATTACACTGTGGTAGAACCAATGCTTGTATTGCTAAGTGATCCTAGATGGACGCTTTCCGCTTTCTTTGAAACACACCGGCGTTTAAATAGCGTGATTTAACCTCGATCGAGTTTGTACTATCCAGTACGCCGTTGCACCTTAAAGGAGGATTGAGTTCCTTTGTAAGGTTATTTGACACTGGTGATCAGTACAAACCTTTTGTAGCATATTTAACAGGACATTGAATATATGGTACATGTGCAGTACACCAAGAACCTGGCTGAAACAAGTAACAACGACTTCTTTATGGTACTCAGCTGGTGGGCTATCATCTTCTTGGTAGGCTACGCTAGTGGTCGTACGCACCTCTGTCCATTTATACTGAGAATGTTACGGGTCCATATTTTTCTTTGGGTACGCACTGACTGAATTGATACTATTAGAACTCAGGGATTGTCTCGTATTATGAGTTTCAGTGTAAATTACTGTTCATATTCTGGTGCCTTACAGTGGGCTTCACAGGTTATCCAAATGCTCCAAATTTTAGCCACTCACTCACCAATTCCATCAGAATGTCCTAGTCGGAAACTTCCTACACCACCACTCTCTTGATTCTGTAGAATCACGCCGCAAGACGTACGTGGTTACCCAAATTTTGTAATGTCTGATTGGTTCTCTCAAACCGTTCCTCTCACAGGTGGCATGAAGTGACTCTTCCTTCCCCGAAAAGATCACTTTTTGTCAGCCATGATTCGATGTCACCCTCTCTCTCTCTCCGGAGAGATGCAAAAATACCACTTTTCCCGTGGTGTCCTCTGTGAGAGGATTACTTAATTCGACCTGTGCATTAGAATCAGCGTTCCTGTCCTTACAGCTCATTTTCGCTGCTAAACTTTTCTTGTGGAGTTCAATTTTCCACACTTCAAGGTCTTGTAAAAGAACAGCATCCTAGATAACCCATTCTTCCTTCAGCTACACTACTATACGTGAAGTTTTATGCTCGAAACGTTCAATCATTGCCGTCTCCGAGTGATAAATTTGAAACACTTGCTTGAACGTATATTACATAGGTGCTAGTGGCCTATCCTGTTTCCCACAAAGGAGGAATACTCGAAATTTGGCTAAAATTCTCACGCGTCACGAGCTCTTGTGATATCAACATGCAGCAAACGCACAATTTTGGTATTCCGAATAATTGTTGCGGCCCTTGACATCATAGGCAGTTCGATGAGTTTTGTTTGGCTTCCTAAGTGCTCAGAATTGAAATCACATGCTAAAGCTAACTCCCTAGTGAAGTAAATTTCAAATCGTATTCGGCACCTTCTGAACTCTCCATAATGTTCTCCAACGTATTGTTAACGATCGACTCAATGTTTACGTTTAACTTTGTTCAGTTGTCGATTTTTGGGATTTTGATTAGGCTTATGCTGTATTTTTCGAAAACTTATGCTGTATTGTTCGCTGAGTGCACGCATGGAAACCGAAAGTCAGTATCACTAATTTTGACTAGTTTTCATTGTTAAATATTGTCGCTTATCAGCAACATTGGTTAGAAGATTCTCTAGGGTGTTTTCGTTCCACTGAGAGTCTATTTTGAGCCTAAACCAGACCAACCTAGTGTGGACAGACTCGTGTTTGCTACATTTGCCCACAGGTGGCTCAGTCTGCTGCCCCCCACAATGATTGCTGCTTGATCTAGCGGACTGGCATCCCCTCATCCGCTTTTTCTCTGCTGTGTGACCTTTTTCAGTCCTCTCCTAACCTCATGTTCTCTTACCTTTTGTGGTTATCGTCCTTTTGCACAATCTCTCCCGTCCTTATTTCGTATGGTTGTGCTTCTTTGTTTTTTTCGTTCTGATTTTAAAGGGTACTTGTCACGTGTTGCAAACCCAAGTCCTAGCTGGTCTATGCTCGTGACCTTTTTTATTCCTCTCTATTAAAAACAATTTCGTTGCAGCTTTGACGTCCACACTCATACTGATTGGAAATGGAGTTTCCCTATATCAATTGGATGCAAACGATTAGCGTTTATGAGACTCCTACGCATTTCTACTTGGTCGGCTCGGATTTGGCTGAGGAACAATTTCGTGTGCTGAAAATTGCTCGTGCCCCGGTGCCTCTTGTCGCTTTGGAATCCGATACAACAGCCACCATTGAAGCTGAATCGTTGTTCGACCGCCTATGGCGCTTGAGTATAACTACCGATACGCACATCTATACGAAATCGGATGTTGCTCGGCTTCTGCATATCATCCAGGCAGCCAGTCGCGTAGGTTCTGATGGTGATGTCCATACGGACGCCGACTTTACTGCTGTTTAACTTAGTGGCCAAGTTCAGTGTATCCACTTGAACAATTAAAGTGGCATCATTGGATTCGTACTAGTCGACACATTGTTGTGAATTGGTGAGGGCAAGTAGACTGTAAATTCAATGGCCTTGAGCCTGTAATGAGATCACTTTGGGTTACAGCTCAGGGTGAACTGAAGACTATCACAGTGGCTGTCAAGTATCTAGTAATACAACTCGTTACACAAAGTGCTTCAATTGTGCTAAGTGTTTCACATAAGGTCCGGTCTATTTGTCACCAGCCAAATATTTTAGCCGAACTGGTCATTGACTTTTATACTCAACGGTATATATACTTGAAGTGATATAGAAAAGTCGCGTTAAGTTTCCAAAGAGCTTAGTTATGCAGATCTTTCATATTTCATCCGATGAATTCAGGAGAGTAGAGGGTTCCCCTTCCAGTTAACGTTCGCCAAACACGCCTTTCAAAAGCCGAACAGTTCTGGAGCTGAATCCACTATCCTCGCCTATCATTTGAATAGATTTTCATGCGTTCTAAATTGATCTGGACAATTTATTCACCTGTTCTCATCCCTGGATTCAACATCACATTCTATAGGGCCTATCACTCCATCCTTGCAAACAATTCTGTGTATCAACTGTGTGAACAAACATATCATCTTCTTCCTTTCTAGCGTCCGCAAACCGGTTTCAAGAGAGATGACCTGCGTTCTGTGGAAGCTGGATCTGGCAAGTGGCCCCGACTAGGTGGACTTTTCCGTCGAAAACCACCGAGTACCAGTCCGACCATCGTTGATCCTAGTGCTTCTAAAATTACCGCCATCGATCCGTCTTCCTTATCGTCTACTCATAACCCTCGAGAAATGCAACAGTCGGTTGCTTCCGGGCTCATCTCAGGTACCGCCGAGCGTTCCCTGTTCTTGTCCACCAAATGTCACGGCATTGCTGGTGTCATCCGGTTTTTACGCGGTTATTACTTGATTTTGATTACCAAATGCCGTATTGTCGCCCAAATGGGAGAACATAAAATATTTAAGGTGAGCAGACCATACATAGTTTCGAATATTTTATCCCCTGTTCGTGGGGCCAAATAATTATCTGCAAATTACATGAAGCTTAATTGAATCCGGCATTTCTCAGTACACCTCCTTGTTGAGCTCAAAAAAGACAGGAACCGGTGGCCTGCCATCGAAGATAGTGTCACATTAGAGAAAACCGAACTCTGTTGTCTTGGTTTTGCCAGATACTACCGGTTTGTTAGGCTTAAAGCCGTCATTTATGCTTCAACTGCTATGCGGTCTAGCTTCTTTTTTGCATGTTTACACAATCACGAGGTGGCTCATCGTTTCACGAAGTTTCATTCACATCCGATAACTATTGTGTGGATGGGTCTGCTGCCTGGCATTGGCTTATTCGAACAACAACATACTGGTGATTACCCATGGAACCTTCAACATGCATGAGATCGAACCCGGAAACCCGGCTACCTCCTGTACATCCCGGGGCTGGTCAGATTGTCCATGTTCCTCATAGATCTATCCATCATTTCCGGACGCTTCATCACTACAGACATTCGTGCAACATTTCGTGGACTTGCAACATCAGTTTTAAGACTATCATTATAGCGTATAAAGTCTGCCCTAGATATACTTTGCTGACATTGCTAGCCTATTATCCTTTCTCACCAAGGTTGAAGACACTTCGCTCATCTACATCCCCGGAAATGACTTCGTTTCTGACGCCAGCTCCTCACACACTGCTTCTTCAACGGCCAGGAGTAGAACAGCTTCTGTTATATCTCAAGATGATTTGAGCAACTTGTCATCGGTATCCCCCCTTGAAAGTTCTCGGCGTTTCTTACAACAATACAATCAGGCGACCAATTCAAATCGCCTGATGACCGATGAAATGCGATACTTGAAGTTATTCAACAGCGTCGACTTGGCGGACAACTTTTACTTCAGTCACACTTACGACTTATCGCATGCACTTCAGTACAACCTGAAGCCGGTGAGCGAATCATCTTTTAAATGTGTGTTGCCCGTCAGAAGACACTAATTTGCTAACATTAACAAATTGGTCGCACATCCCATGGATTGGTGATCATTTAGGCCCGACTGAGCATGATGGATAAGTGCCATCGTGGTGCGCAGGTGGCGTTCTGTCCATCCCGGAACTAGCAGGATAGTGTATGTGGACTGGTTTCTGCTAGCCACCAACAATATAAACTCCAATGTATGGGAAACTAAAGCTATACATTCAACCACAACCAGTGTAAGTTCAAAAACACAAAATTCCTTCCTAAAGCTTGGACTCATTTCAATTCGCTGTTGGGAGGATGGATTCTCCATAAGTTTGCAACCAAATCTCAGCAAACGGACAATGGCTAATCGAATAGGAATCAAAGAATAAACGGATATGTGCAAAGTTGTGGCGCTTACACAAAATTTAAGGCTCCAGTACAGTCCGAGATAACTGATTTCCTTGTTGTTGTTGCTGTTGTTGTTGTTGTTGTTCGTCATTCTCAAATGGGTTCATCTTAAAACCGCTGGCTTAATTTCACTACCTCGTTTTGGTCTCAAAATACCAAGCGATTCGATGTTGCAAGAAACGAAGATCAACATCGGCCGGATGATGAGGCCTCCTTGCACAATCTTCTTATTTCCTATTTTAACGCGTGGAAACTGATGCTTCGCTTGTCGCTATAATCAAATGAATGCGACAACTGTAGCTTATGTATGTTCGAGGAGATGAAGTGATGGAGGGAAACCGGTCGTGGGCTTTTGAAGAGTTTTCAGCAACCTTGTGAGTCGTTTCCTTCATGAAGGTACACCAATACTTCTTTCAGGAAACCGTGTTCTTCTTTGTTGCATTCTCTTTCAAGTTGTATGGCTCTTGCTGTGTCAGCTTATTGCTTTTTCTCCAGCTGGGTTGCCCAATCCTGTCTCGTTCCTTACTGAAGCGTTTCAGTGTTCTGTAATTTGGCATTTTTAGCTTACCGTTCGGTACTTTTTTATAGAGCAACCTGAATGGATTTCACCCAGTTGTCTCACTCTGGAACAATCGACGTGGCGTTTCAGTATTCTGTAATTTGGCATTTTTAGTTTACCGTTCAGTACTTTTTTATAGAGCCACCTGAATGGATTTCAGCCAGTTGTCTCACTCTGGAACAATCGACGTCAGAGTGTACATGCCCTGTTGATTCCATAGACCTTCCTCCAACCTTTACCTTCCAGTAAGAGAGCATATTCTGTGGTCCGCTTCGCTTGATCTTTCTAGAAGACAGCCGTGTACTTGATCTCAGTTTTATTTGGTTTTATAGATTTCCTACATGTCGAAGCAGATACGTGTATCGGACAAGCCCTATCGGACTGATGTACATACAGAACCTCTGCATCCTGCAATAACGGCGATAAATGGTTGGTGTAAACCGATGGATGCTGTAGATAACACAGAATTCAGTACCTCAAAGAGAAAACACTTTCGTGACAAAATACTCTTTCAGGGGGATTACTGTGTACATTACTTCAACACTTAGAAAAAGGTGTGCTAGATGTAGCCTGGATATGTAACCCAGTGTTCCCCAAATCGAAACTCGATGTTGCCAACAGAGGGTTTACCGCTGAGCCCAAACGAAACTTCATGAATTCAAACATCATTTCTTCTAGGGGAATCGTTAGACCCTGTCTGTTCACTTGTTCCATCTTCTAGGTTTTCAATGATCAAACACCTGGATCTGGTGCTGACGTCTGGGCTGTGAAGCCAATGCCAAACGATCGATTTGTGTGGAACTGGCGCCTTATTCCCCCACGTTTCCGTCCAGATCACTCTAGTCAAGAAGATCTTCAGCCTGACTGGTTCACTTTGCTTTACCACGGAACTGTCAGCCAAGCTGCTCTGGCGGCCTGTGGAACGCCGTTGTATATTACTCTAATTGGCCGCCGCAGTCGACACTTTGCGGGACCCCGTTTCCTGAAACGTGGTTCTAATCTGGTCGGTGATGTGGCTAATGAGGTTGGTGGATATTTTACCCTAACCATCGCTATCTTCGTGGATTCGTGTATTTGAAGTCGTTTCATTTTCTCCTCTGTTCGGCAATTGCGCTTTCGCCTTCCTGGGGCCACGACCCTTTAATCTCGTGGTTGATTCGATCAGAGCACATCGGTCCATCTCGCGTGAATGGATGCAGCGGGCTGTCATCTTACTAGTCAGATCATTCATCAACAGTCCACGTGTTGTCAGATCCTGCTTCTTGAGTGGTTGCTTCTGTAAGACTGCACCCTAGCCAGAATGACACATTTATTGTTGAAATCTTCGCTTTCTCAGCTGTCGGAAAAAAGACTGGCAGCTTTGTACTGTAGTGCAATGGATGGAACCGAATTCGAAATGCTCATGATCATGAATCACTTACCCATCGCACCTTGAGTTTTGTGTTTTCCAAGCCACGCAGTTTACTGGCAAAAGCGATAATCTTTCTCCTGTTGCGCCTTCTTACTCGGGTTTGTTTACACGCTTCAAGTCATCGAAAAGTATTTGGCTAATTCGTAGTTCCTGCGTCCGTGCAGTCTCGTTCCACACTTTATTGCGTTAAAAGCGGAAAGTCGATCGCATTTGAAGTGATTTCGCATTCTACGCTCTCTACCTTTTTGTAATATTCACAAAATTGGTTTACAGGGATAGAGTGGACCCGTTACCATAGACCCACTATCTGATTCACAAACGTCGAATTCGATGAGGGCACAAAATAGGCAATAAAGCGTGAAAAAGTCATGTTGTTGCGTGAGAACAGTACGTTGCAGTATACGTTTAGACGGAAGAACGTGAACTCCAATGGTAAGCATCTGAAGAGCATACGAACTGAAGAAAACGGGAAACGGAGTAGAATTCCAGAAGCTGATAGGAACGAAGGGAATAGTATTCCCTGAAGGTAACTCTTTACAAGGTTTCTAAGGATCATTCGAAATCCCAGTTCCGCTTTTCTTTCGGATTCATCTGGTAACCCTAGTCCCCGTCGTCTCTTAGGCTCTAATTGAACTTGGATTGTACGGAGTCCACGAACTACACTCACCTGCACACAAATTTGGTTTTCACGGATGACTCAACTTAAAACCAGTTGAATCTCTCGTTACTGATATAGCTTCAACTAAATGTGCTGCACAAAGGCTGTCTCATGTTTCAGTTGGTGTGATATTCGAGGTATCGCAGTATGTCTTCATGGTGGAAACTATCTGAAAAATTGTCAAAAACTCAACTCAACCCAACCGAGTCGCAGCTGAAACTCTCGTTTTCAGCAACCTTATGAGTAGCTTCCACCAGGGAAGTGGACTTCAGTTCAGCTTAGCATTCACGGTGATTTTAACCATAAAATAGTGAGGTAACACTTGCATATTACCGGTCGAAACGGTGCCACGAATCGCTGTGACGTACAACTTTTCGTTGAGCACCATGTGGAAATGAAAGATGTGTAGAATGAGCATCGCCTTACTTATGACGGCAATATTCGCTATTGTAGCGGATCTGGATCATTCACAAAAGTAACGTAGTGGATATTTACGGGTGGGAACCGAATTCTTCAGAGGCAAACACTCATTTCAATTTAAGATGGCGGTAACAGGATTCTCAGTGGAGCGATATTACAGACCACATTCTCAGTTGGGTCAGTACAATCTCTATTTACAAATGAGTGTTTATCTTCGCGTGCATCCATTTGGTTGGACAGAAAAAAATCAGACGGATGAACAATAGGCACCATAAAGATAAAACCGCCAATGGACTGTTCAGAAGTGCTTGTCAGCTTTATAGGTAGTATCGTGTCAAGAAAAATAGTTTGACTGAAGAATGAGGTGGTTCTTGTGTAGCACATTCAGTTCAGCAACGGTATGAATGGAAGATCTAGTTGAGTTTTTCAGTTGTCCGGAGGTTTTCACTGAAATTTCACATGGAGTTTTATAGAAGTTCGGGTTTCAAGTAATTTCACACGCGAAAACATTTAGAATTGTTGGAAAACGACGGAACAAGAGGCAATCAGTTGCTTATTTTGTGCCGTTAAGAAAACTAAGGAAAGTTTACTAAAGCGGGTTGAGCGCTACCTACCTTAACTGATCGACTCATGCTATTCCCGGCAACACTTTTCGTCAAACACGGATGCAACTACTCATGTTGGTCAATGGCATTCATGATCGCCAGGCCAGTTTTCATCTTGTGTTTATCGATACATTAGTAGTGTTTGTGTTACCATCACACTCATTTCAGGCAAACGGGGAATTATACATGTGTAGCAAAAAAGTTGTTCATCTCTAACATCCCTCCAAGGCCTAGCTGCCATACCACCTGAAGGAATTATGAGAGCTGAGATACTGTCAGGTTGCCCAAGCCTAGACAACAACAGTCGAGATGCCAGGGCTGGATATGAACCGCGGACTTTCCGGTCACTAAACTAAGGTGGGAGTAGGCATTATCTACTGAGCCATACGCTGGAAAAGTGTGCATATGACCGCTTCGGCTTGACTTGATGGAAAACAGAAAGCTGAAAAAGTCTACGGTGGTGTGAGCATTCTGCTCCGCATTCATGCAGCTCGGCACTGAGCTTCTGCTTAGTGTATGCCATGTAGCTTGGTATGCCATAAAATCAAGGCGAGATTGTTCGGGTGGAGTATTGTGCTTTGTTCTCGAACCGTTCTATGGACAGTGCAGACAAGGTCCAGTTCTTGGCCTTGGTATTATACTTTACAATCTGTAAGCGGTGTCCAAAGAATCAAACTCTTGATGGTAGAATTGACCTGCGCCGTGAATGTCAACCAGTTCTCAGGCGAAGACAATGTTTAGTGGGCACGTTTGTGTACACGATCAAGGAGTGTCACACCACTTGCTTTGGTGTTTTAGCTCACGTTTGCTTCACTGAGCAGAGGCACTGAGACTTTAGACGCTTGCTGTTACCTGTTTTTTTATTCCCTCAAGTATGGCTTCCTCACTGTAATTTCACCATCCGCTTGATTAGAAGCATCTTCAATCGTTCATCCTTTCAGCATTCATTTACGCATAAAATCAACTGCTTCTTTGCAGTCGGACTGGGTGCTTTCGCATAGAACTCACATACTTTCCTCTCTGTTCATTCGCTCTTCTTTGTTTGTTCAAGGTGGAGACTGAGCAGATTGTGACTGATACATCGCATGCACTGCTGCGCAACAGTCGTTGCTCATCCTACGTTCAGCTCCGCGGTTCTGTTCCGTTGTTCTGGTCACAAGAGCCAACCAAGTTGGGAATGGGTCGACCCCCCATTGAACTTTTGGTAAGCCTACCAATGTTTGTCATGTTTTTAGCTAATTTTTTTACTGAGCGACCGTGTTTGGCTTACTTCTACTCTATCTGCTTGCATTTTGATTTTCATGAATAGGTCTGAGTTCTAACTCAAACCGTGCAGGTGCCCTGGTTGTGACCTTATTCCGAGGTTACATTTGGTTGATGAGTCTACTACACCGAAGAAAGCCCTTGAATCAGTTCTATTCTTACAATGGTAGAAGTGGAGCGTCCGGTTTTTCTTCCGTTTTCTGTGAAGAGAATGCTCTGTTGGTACTCTGTGCATCATGTATTCTTTACTTTCAGAGAAATTTGCTAACCATATGTGATGTTCAGTCGTGCTGCCCACCGAACACTTGTAGAAGGGTTGATCTGATATGCAATCAGTCAGGCGTGCATAGGCGAATCAGGATCGACTTGTGGCTAACGTTTCTTCTTTCTTGAGCTTCAGCATTCCATCCTCAACTGAAAGCTACTATAAGTTTATCCATCCACTTCTGTTGATGACAAAAATGTGTGTGAAAGCCATGCAAATAGCATCGCAGTACTATACATGTGTATCTCAAGCAAGGTGAGAATTAAGAGCTGAATACTTGTGATATCTCGAATCGATCTGGAAAGGGCTGGTACCACGATTACGCTTAGTAACGCCATTGCTACCATTGTGTATAGTTCTCCGGTTGTCCCGGTCAACAAAAATCCGGGGTAACCGGTTATGGTTACGTGTGCTCTTTGATGCTGGATGGAGGTTTTTCTATCTGATAGAGACTTTGACCGTGAAGGACTGATTAGCGTTGCGAAATCAGTCGAATAGCTTTTTCTTGTTTGGATACTATCTTAATCATGTTGCGGAATATGGGCACTGCTTGGCTGTTGGTCTGTTCGCCGAGCTTGGCAGTTGGATTGCAAACGTTTCATCACCAATCGAGGAAACATCGTCATTGCGGGATTGAGCATAACGCATCTTATGTTAGGATCACCGGTGCCTCCAACTTGAACTTCATTTACGACAGCAAGTCGACCTGACCAGCATAGGTTCAGTTCCGGTGTGCTTAAACAAACAAGATTCATAGATCTATTAAAACCACGGTGGCCAGGACGCCTGCTCCGGGTAGCCTCTGGTGATCTGTTGTACAACACGGAATGAAGCGCCATTTGTGCATTACTACATCATATCATTGATATTTTCCCAAGCTCATTTTAGACCCTCTCTAGATAATGTTACTCTATTGTCACCTTGGCTACACAATCATAGGGTGGAACAGCACGTATTTTAGCCCCCGGATTATTTATATACATGGCCAACACTATTTGGGGCATTCGACGTTTCCGCACATGACTGTTGTCTCGTGTGTGTTACTGTGCTGAGCTCAATCCCTTAATTTCAGCCTTCAATTGTCCTCTTAAATATTCCAGCGTGAAGATCCATACTTTGAGGCCTTTGGAGCTCATTTTGCAAACTTGTTGGAACGTCATGGCTCGCCTATCGTGGTATTCAACCTGATGAAGAGACGAGAAAAGCGGAAATTCGAACATTCTTTATCCGAAGGTTTTGAACGTGGCCTAGCCTATTTGTCACAGGTCTGTTTCTTTGCTTCGTCTTTTGGTTCAGTTACATTTCAGTGAGTGGAACTTTGAGTTCATGAGAAACACCCATGTTGCCAACATGAGATGCAAAAACGTTAATTTCTCAACTCGAAACCGCTATATCTTCTTGTCGTTACACAAAGGTTGACGTCCATATCTCCGTATTCTCCGGTTATCAATCAACTCGTTTGGTTGTTTTACTTCTAATCGAGCTGTGCAGCTTTTAACTAGTCTCGATAGTGAAATCATTCAGACAGAATAACTCCGAAACATATGTGCTATCTAAAACATGCACCAAGTTGCTTGCCGACGGTTAAGCAGTACACGGGATGCCATTGTATTTAGTGTACTTAGTTCAATAGAACTTCAATAGAACTGCCGAGTTTTTGTGCTTCCCACCGCTGGGCTGGACTATGTTTTGAACTGTCGCTTGAGATCTGTTGTTGCTGCTTCTCTTAGGTAGGAATAACGAGGAATTTACAACATAGTTCCCGTGGTAAGGAAAACACTTATAAGTATGAATGATCTGTGTACGCACCACTATATAGACGTTAGCAGTTGTTTCTCAGTTCTTTTATTCTCTTCTTAATCCCCTCTACCGTCTCTTCCAAACACTGGGACTGAATTCCTTCTGTAGGTGATCGCCATAACAAGAGCAGATAATATGGCTCCGATTCTGTACAATAAGAGTGATTTTAATGCAGCTCCCATATGAATGGAGAGTCTGTTGCAATAGGCAACTGATTTACCCGCCGCGAATCTAGGGTAGAATTCAAACTCGATTATCTCCAAATTGGAATGTTCCACCATCTTATAATGCGAATCCTAAACGTCAGTTCTCTCCCCTGCCCACCATACAGTTCCTTCCATCCCGTGTGCCACTAATCACCAGTACGACCGCGAGTTCTGCGCAAACTGGTACGGAACAGGCCAATCCACCCATTCTCTACATCGCATTCGACATTGCTCGTGTGCAAAAACATAAATCTCTCGTGGCATTGGAAGAGCTGCGCCCTGTGGTTGAGTCGTGTGTGAAACGAACCGGAATATTTCTAAGCTCATCTGGGCACCGTTGGGCGGAAAGCGGGAAATCTTCCGAGCTGAGGCAAGCTGTAAACACATACCTTCGTTGTGTAGATACCAAGTTTTTGACTTGGGAAACAAATATTTTCTAGATTTGTTGTCTAGCTTAGCTTAGAAAGAACCAGCTTTGTTCCTATTAGTCGTTTCCAGATTTCTGATTTGTGTGTATGAATTTTCAACTTGTACTTGGTTTTTGAGGACAGTTGACTCTTTTGGGAGGATTCTTGAATTGCACTCTCAGGAATAAAACATCCAGTTGGTCCGAAGTGGTTGGGCTGAAAGTAGGTTATCCAGTTTGCCGGAAACCCAGACGATTTTTATGAGGGTAGATGAAGTACAAATATCTAGTGGGTTATTTCTTGTTTGTGGTCTGTCCGAATGGATTAAGACCAAGCGGTGTTTCAAAACTTTTTTCGTGCATCCTCTCTCACCCACTGGTACATTCAATCAAAAAATCATGTCGGTCTTCTGTTTGGTGTTGGCGATATTCCACGACCTGGAATCAGGATGTCTTCTTAACTTCTTACCTGTTCTATTTAGTCAACCTTATTCTTGAATGTACGGTGATCTGCGACCCATCAATACCAATTTTTTCTCTTGTCCTCGCTACTCTTCCCTGGTGGTAGTAATCGTCAGTGCGGATTAATACGAGTAAATTGCGTCGATTGCCTGGACCGAACCAACACAGCCCAATTTGTGATTGGACGGGTTGTGCTTGCTCATCAACTCTACATGCTTGGGTTTCTCACTGAACCTGTGATTGAGGCCGATTCAAAAATAGAAGTTTTACTTCAGGTAAGAACGTTGGGCGTAAGCGGTTGATCGGTTCTAGTTATCTCTATTCTCTTTTTAATGAGACTAGATGAAGGCAGCGAACGTTCGAATGCACTTTTTTGACTAATGTACAAGTTCATGCTGTCGCGAGTTCCTAGTTCTCACATCTGTGCTTTCGGTGTTTTTGTTCTCTATTTTGCATGTTCTAATTAGTTTAAAATGTAGCTGAATCTGACGGTTAGTTGTATTAAAGCACCGTAGCAGCTTCGCGTGTTTGTGATTCACTTGGTCGTGAATTTGTTAATATCGACTCGTTGCGTGGTTCGAACTGTTAAGAAACGGTACTTTACTAAACAGAGCATACAGCCAGTGATATCGCAATAGATTGAAAGCAGAAAAGGGACAGTAAGACGGTGGTGTGTTCCTGAATTAATTAATGGATAATGAACATACAGCTATGTTTTCGACAAATGCGCTCATAAACAAAGGATTCATTCGAGTCTCCCGAGAAAACCAAACTGATTTGCAAATGAGCGTATTTGTCGAAATCAGTCCGATTTGGGTTCAAGTAGAACATAAGGTTGACAGAAGCTCGTGGACTGTGCCTACTTGATGAGCCCCAAGATAGGTGAAACCGGTCTTGGGCTATCGAACAGTTTTCTACAACTATGTTATTTCACTGTAGCTATTCTTACTTGTACAAGGCTTCCACTCAACCAGTCTGAGTTGACTACGTGCAAGTTTTATTTATCAATATGTGTGACACATTACAACGGTTAATGTGCGAGGTAGTCAATCACGGAGCACGAATACATGAATAGTAATAATAATAAAATGTCAAACAACAACAGAAGTCAACTGTCCACATACAGCATCTTTTACTGCTTGAGAATTTGTTGAAAGATGAGTTATCGTAGTTCTAGAAAGTAAAGAATATCGTAATCGATATGATATGAAGTTCTGTCGTATCACTGTTTTTCAAGAGTAGGTCTGAATTAAAACGTTGTAGGCATTGGATACATGAATGTGGGCTGAGGAGCTCGCTTTTATTCTTCATTCCTGAGAACGTTGCAGATGAAAATGTTGATGGATTTGTAAAAGAAAGTACGATTACTTCCGAATGTGCAAAAAGCCATTCACCGAGTTTAGGCCAGGTTGCATGCTCATAAATGAGTAGAGTTTAGGCCAAGCAGACTTGTATGCAGCATTTTCAAGATTTTGCACGAAGATGAATTTTTCAGTCTATGGAGGTTGTACAGACAGAGGTTCTGATCTAGAAAAGAACTCCGGTGCTCCTTAAGGTAGGCTTGACAAGACAGCTTCGTAGTTAATCATGTAGAGGAAGGAAATGATCGATAGGATCTAAACAATTTCTAGCTATCAAGGTTCTACTGAGGAAGGAGACAGCATTCTGATAATAAAGTCAACTTTTGGCAGTTTTCAAGAACATTCCGGCAGGAAGTGCTGTCTTATAGTTAGCGCAACCACACAAAGGCCGTAACATGGCTGTACTACCTACGTGACGTTTGGCGTAGTATCTCTTGTGCGAACTTCATAGTGAACTGGTTGCAGACCGAGTATACCAGAATGATACCCACGTACATGTCAGTCCGCACAGGAATAAGTAGAAACTTACCTGACTCACTTGAAATAGGCTAGTTTGGAATTACCAAGATTGTTGTACGGCCAATTGTGATGTCGAGGTTAAAGTACCCCTGTGCGTTATCGTCAGTGACCATACACCACACTGGCGAAAATGAGGGGAAAGATTGCGAACGATACCAAATAGTCACTCACTTCCAACATTTCGGGGATGTTCATCGGCACATTTTGTCACTAACTGCGTCCCCTCTTCCCTGCCGCTCAGCAAATCGTCTGCGCCGGAAAATAGCGTGCGCGTAATCGATGCAGCTGTGCCCGTGTGAGGAGTTCAAATATTTTAGTTTCCAGTTACTCATGAGTAGGAAGAAAATATTCCCTGTACCCCGGCTCCGCCATGCGAGTTCCGTGACATCTGTGGAGTTAGGTTGGTTCCCGTTTTATCTAATATATCCACCAGTCAGCGCAATGTTTTATTTTTGGCTCCTCATGTAATTGCACACCCGCCTTATCTACTCAGTTACACACCGACCTCTGACAGATCATCTATTGGTGGACGGGGGTTTACGTGTGACTAAGGTTCCGCTACTTAGTTGGAACTTCATGGTGAATCAATTCGTCACCTTCACTAATCTTATATATTTACCGCACAACAAGCTGAAGCCGTTGGACTTTGGATAGAGGGGGATGGCTGGTCATTGATCGACCGTTCCAACGCCAATCACTGCTTTGTATATCCCAGTTGTCACAATCAGCTACTGCCTGGTCGTGTGGAATTTTAGTGGCAAATCAATTTCCACCGAAAGTTGCGGTTGAATGACTGTAGTATGATGCTTCCTACACTAGCATTTACCCTTGAGAAGGGCTGTTTTGGGCGATACCTCACTGATATTTGTGCTCGTTGAACACAAGCGCGTTTGTTCGAGTGTTTCCGACACAGTTTATCAGTGCTTGATGAATTCTTTCATTTCTCCTGGTCCAGGTATTTAATAGTCTTTCACAACTATTGGGGCGATGTATAAAAGTGTAGTGATTGGTTATTTCATCTTATTAATTGGCCTCGGTACTTTCAGCAATCAGTCAAGTCAAATCATGTTATGTTGCCAGTGATGAAACAGAAACTCATCTATGGCTAAAGTTGGGTGAACATGTGCTGCTGAAATTGCGAAGAGGTCTGTGCCAATAAGTTTACTGAAATCAGATAGAACAGCCTCAATCTGCTCCACTATATTCGTCATCGTCTGCCAGCTAATTATTTACGAATGCCTTAGTGACTCATTTGTTGCCTCTGATAGTGTTCAACACATCAAACACCGGACCGTTCACATGTGCGAAATCCACTGTTGTACATTTATGGAGATCAGGCTTGTGTAACTCGGGACATCCTCTTATTAATTTGTAGGCCTGCAAATGGACCTTTGTTGTGACGCTTTCGTTAGTTTCTCGATCATGGTGTGCATGATACACCAGAAGAATCTCGGGTTATCGCGCTGTTTCTCGGCAACCGCTATTTTTTATGCCGCATGTATTTTCAGGTCGGTAAAGTCAATTGTTGGATAAACACCCTCTAAGATGCAGTTATCTTTTGTACACAGTCCCCCCCCCCCAATGAAGCACCCCCGCAGGAAAAGAATAAAAAAAGCCATAAATTTTCCTAGATGAAAATAGTTGTGTACGGAAGGCTGCATTGTACTGTAAATTTTACCGGTAACAGTCCCGTCTACCCTACGAATGCTTGCGTTGCTAAAGCCGTTCTCTTACTACGGAGACTGATCGAACTACCGAGATAAACAGATTTGTTGATCGCCTCAGTTGGACCATCTGGAAGCATGAGGTCCGCGATTGTCCCTATCCAGTTTTGCAGAAGCAACCCACACTTTCAGGGTGCGAAACTGGTACCAAACTTCCGGAGTCCACGACCCGCCCAACTGCTCACTGATGCTGTCCCCTCGTATGGTGACGAAACTTTACAAGTCGTTTGCCAAGCTCGGCTAACAGGTCAACAGCTACCTGATCAAAAACCAACAAACTCACCCAAACTCACTCAGTATTTTGACACATCACAAAGCAATTTTCCATTACCGTCACGATGAAGTTTATGATAAAAGTGACAGGGGACAGACTTGAGTGACACCGCTGGGTATGGTGAACTGAGACGGCAGCTTGTCGTAGGCCCTCAACTATACACCTGAATCAACGTACAGTACGATTAGGAGAACCGGGATTTTCTAAGAAACATTGCTGGACAACAAACATGACCATAATGCCGGGCGACCAATTGAGTCACAGGCAACCTTCAAGTCAAGGAAGACGTTGATTTTGGTCACCGCAATCGCACAAATGCAATCAGTGGATTTTCTCGCAGGGCGCAACTCAATCTTCACAGATCCATTTTGGACACATCATTTTGTCTTTACAAACGCTATTTTTACGGGTAAATTTACGAGTTGCCTTCACTAACGATTGGTTACCAGTTGCTTTCGGACCATCCTGTCGAATTAGTTGGTTCAGGACACGACTGTATCTCCATTTCCTGAGCTTATGCTACGCGCCAGAACCGTCAATATCTGTGTCACAATATTCATTATTTGGGGCTTGAGAATCTGTCTGCACCGTGCAACCCGAAGAAAACATGAGGAGTGGTATGGTGCACGTTGCTCTAACCAGAAGTCAATGTGGGATCGTACTGTGGACTCCCTGCTGTTAGATAGACTTTGGAATGATCTACACTGAATTCTCCGTTCGATCAGCACGGAACGTGCCGTGATTGCATTGGTTTGTGATAATATATTGAGTACCAATAATGTGGGTGAAACCACTGAAATGTTGTCAGCCGGCACACCCTGTTGCACTTTTTCTCGATGAAGTCTAGTGTGGTTATGTTCTGGAATCTTACCATTAACAATGATAACAATCGTTCAGTTGTAACACTCTTCCGGTGCCCAGCTGCTATACCACCTGAAGGAAGTACGAAGGCTGCCAGTTTGCCCAAGCCTAGACAGGAGTAGTCGAGATACATACGTTGATTTCGAGCTACGGACTTTCCGGTCAGTAAGTTCGCGCTCTAGGCACTTAGCCATCTGGAGTTCGTTGGAGGGAACCTGTGCAACGCCGTTTGAATTATGTGGGATGACGCCATAATTTTGGTTGATTAATTCAGTGAATATCCGTGGACACGAAAAGTAGACAAGTTTACCTACCTTAAATTTCACATTGCCAGTCAAGCATATTCTCCCTATGGAGCTGTTCACGGACGCGAACCACCGTATGCATTCCCCGAAGGCGATTTTTAGAGGAGGGGTTGTTATTGAGAATCTTACGCCGTCGTAATTATTTGTACTCACGGGAGTGTGTGTGTGTGTGTGTGTGGAGCGCTCAGAACCTGAACTTGTTGCTTGCTGTAAGGATACGTTCTATGCATAGTCCTCGAAGACTAGGTTATCGGCTCAAAGACAGTTTGTCGAGTGAGAAAAATCAGTTGCTGTGCAAACTTTTAAAAATACCCATTGCCCATCCACCGCAAAAATATACACCAGTGGTACGTCTTTTCCTTTTTCTTCAGAATCTATATGATGAGCATGGTGACATCTTGGCGCTGCAATACGGAGGCAGTCAATTGGTTCACAACATCGATACGTACAAGAAGACACGCCGACTCACCAGCCAATCACGGGACTTTGTACAAACACTGTCGCGGTATGTGGAATGACTGCCTTCCCTTATCATCCATCATTTAAGTAACGGTCAATCGTTCAACTAACATCCGCCTAGCCAGGAAACATCGATCTGCCGACGGTCGTTTTCACTCTTGTTTCACCAGTTAATTGTAGTCTTAAATTAGGAATTCGGTCAGAATACTATATAGTGCTGTAGGAAGGTTTGATTGGTGTGCCAAAGCAATGTCGCAGCTTTGACATGACTCTTTTTCCAGAGTGGCATCATCTACCCGGACGACGATCGTCTCAAGCGTTCCAAGCATTTGTTGGATAACAGCCTATGATTGATCTGGAGGCACTCGACAGTTTGAGATTAATGGCTCGGTGGAGTTTAATGAGTTAGCCCTGTCGGTCAGATGACTGGCTGTAGTGCTTGTCACATGTTTCTCTTCTCGAGCCCTTCGTGAAATTGATATGTATTCTTTGATTCTTTGCCATAAGCGACGGATCGTTCGACTGACAATCTGCAGGACGTTCCTAAACAAATAAACATATAGACATAGAGTAATCATAGACTGACTTTATCCTTGAGATTCATGGTACGCTGTCGACCAGGGTTGGACTACATCCTCAATTGTGCTGCATTATACATGCACCTGATGCAGGCGATCAGCTGACGGACCATCTTTTCTGAAGCTCTGTCGCTTTTAAGTGGTATCTGGGATGAATGGGTTTCTACTCGATTGCTGAGTTTCTTTTGCTACTGCTCCGGGTAACCACTTTATACCAACGTTTTCCTGATGACTCGCAGTTCAGCTTTCAGTCTGTTTTGTGTACAGAGCGTATGAGCTCTGTAGCTTGGACAGCTTGCGAGATTCCTTTCCACAAAGCCATGGAGAATGGTATACTAGTCGGAACATGTGGGTTCTCCGTTCACCCCTCTTCTCCTTCTTGGCCTCTAATGAAAGTGGAAGTTGCCACTTTCTTCCTCTTTCATGGTAGAGCGCGGTGTCGCTTTGGCAATATTAAAACATTTTAGCGGTCTCATGGTAGTGATAATGAAAATATCACCAACAAGTCGTAACTATTTTGCGTTTAGCTTTAAACTTCGTGTTTGGTCATAAAATGTCGGCCTAGATGAGACCAAATGAAGAGTTCATCGCAACTTCGTCTCCGTCTAATTGACAAACATTTGCAAAGGATCCTTTGGTGCCAGGTGGCTTGTGCATGTAATGAGGTACGCTCAGCTCCTAAAGGGATATCTTAACCACAGACTCTTCTAGTATTCTCCGAAAGCTGGTCACAACCTCTTCTATGTTCCGGGACATCCGTTAGACCTGAATGCGGGATATTCTGTCAGCCAACATTCAATAAGAGGCTTCTTTTAGGTTATAGATGGTTTCGCGTTTGTAATCTCCAGTCATTTACAACACCTTAATGTGAGGGAATGTAGTTATTCATCTGATTCTAACATACTTTCCTGAGTGCTGTGAAATCAAATTGAGTTGTGTGTGAAGGACAGTGGAAGGTAATGACACTCAGTCGATTAGGGCGGATGAGTCAGTTGTATATGATGTGAAGTAGGTGGTTTTGTTGTAACTCACCGTCACGGCTTCTGATGTCGCGTGAGAAACGAAATAATGCGGGATAAATCGTTGGTAGTTGGAAAAATTATACTTTGCGGCTGACTGCCTCCGTAGGCAATGCGAAGGCTTGTCGGCCATTATTGTAGTCATTGAAATCACCCAGCATGAAATTCCAACGGTGGGATCGGGTTGTAGGATTCGTTGACACATAACAAGAACAAAGTCAGCTCACTTCAATGCAATTCGGTAGCCGATTTATGTGGCGGAGATGTTCTTTTATTTGAGAACCAAGAACGTTGGAAAAGGAAGAGGGTAATCGAAAGATGGGAACAGAGAAATGAGCGTGGACACAAACTGAGATGTCGGAAGCAAGCAAGAAATCGAATACTTTTCGTCCGTTTGTTTCAGTGGGAAAAGGATCAGATGGGAAGACAGTAAATGGTGATAGACCGCGTTGTTGTTATTGTCCTGCTGAGCGAATCTTTGAATTCACTGTATTTCATTGGGCTGTATCTTTATCTTCGGTTTATGTATCGTGATCCTAGCTCTTGAATGGCTGCACCTCCGGAAAGCAATCTGGACCGCCTACCTCCTGTAGTAAAAACACACCTCCCCTTTGAATACCGAAGACTTCTTCCCACTTGATCGATAACTAGTCTGCTTTGACCGTTTATTGATGTCAGCTTACTCATGTGCTGATTGTGCAACGTAGGATACCTTTCCAAGTAGTTGAGGTGAAGGCCTACAAAACTCTTCTTGAATGAGTACTTCTCACTTCGAAACAGACTTGTCAATGCCCTCACTGAACAGTTTCGCTATATATGACTTCGTTTTATGAAGAACATCGGCTAAAATACCGAGTCATCGCCAATATGGTCAAATTAGTTGTAGTACTGGAATGTACAGCTGGAATTGTGGACTTTCACGTTCACATCACTCGTCTGAACAGCCGTTCTACTGAGCCCACACCGAAGGGAGAACTTTAGTTTCGATCTTATTAGAGGGTCACCATCAGTGCACATTCTTGGTCATGTAGGAGTTTGTACCCTGGACACGTGTCCACCGAGAGGTGAATGGTGTATCACCGGGCAACGATGCACGAAAACACTAACCAGTGAACTTAGTCAAGTCGGCAACGGTCACCTCCCTGAATAGGGACCCCGGGACCCGATTCACCAATGGTTGGTGAAGGTGACAGATATGGTCCGATCGTGTCAGGAGTGGTGCTCGTACATGAAAGCTATCGCAATCAGTGGGTCCCCCCCCAACTAACTGATCATACCATGACCCCCAATACCTGACTATATCTCCCGTGGTCTCCCATTTTCCGGTGACCGAAACTGTAGTAGCTGGAACCAACGTGCCCTTGGGATATGGTTTATAGCTTATAGACTAGACTGGAATTGGTGTCCTGATCTTTGTACATTCAACTGCTCACTCATCGTGTCTATACGTTCATTTAGCTGTTTACTCATTAGTTGTCCACTTACTGTTTGCCTGTTCATTATTTTCAATACCACTCGGTACCATTGTTTTTTTTTCGTTTTTCATACACAAGTTTTCCCTATTATTCTCGTTTGTTTATCTGGACTTCTTGGGCATAACTGCCCATATTATTATAGGTTTAAATCATTTTTATTGCCAACGATTGCTGGCCGTCATATGTTATTTGGTCACGTGCGTACTTTCTCGGTGGCCGGATTTCTGTGTCCCTGTAACAGATCGATTTCTTCAGTATCCGTTTCGTCGTTCGTGGGAAAAAACATCTGTTGTGGTTGGTTTAGCGATCGTCCCATTAGATCGGTATCATTTTCATCGCTGAACCACCGGAAAGAAGCCCCAGAGATTGTAGCAGCTACTCCTCTCTTGTGCTATTAGTTTTTGTTGTCTGCTGCTTCGCCGGCCTGTGGTATCTGCTGCTGACCCGTTCCAGTGCCTAGTGTCGGAGAGAAAAAGGCTCACGGAAGGGAACACAATAGCTATATTTCAAGAAACTGGTTGCGAGAGCGCGAGTGCGAAAAGTACAACGGCCTCAAGCTTTTTATTGGAAGCACACTGTCTGGACTTGGTCGAATGCTGACACACGCGGTCTGGCTTTGGTACGAGGCAGCGACGTGCTGCATATTGCGGAGGCGTTGTCTGACCTTGATCAACGCTGACTCGCGCTGTCTGGGTTTGATGCAAGGCTGTGACGCGCTGCATATTGAGGGGGCGTTGTCTGTCTGGTCAACACCCGGCGGAGCTTAGGCTCTCCGTAAATTCCGGGCATTCAGTGGTTACAACGGTCTCAAGCTATTTATTGGAGGAACACTGCCTGAACCTGATCCAATGCTGACACACGCGGTCTGGCTTTGGTACGAGGCAGCGACGTGCTGCATATTGCGGAGGCGTTGTCTGACCTTGATCAACGCTGACTCGCGCTGTCTGGGTTTGATGCAAGGCTGTGACGCGCTGCATATTGAGGGGGCGTTGTCTGTCTGGTCAACACCCGGCGGAGCTTAGGCTCTCCGTAGATTCCGGGCATTTAGTGGTTGCTTTCAGGAAGCTGACCTTCCTGATAGTTCTCTTGCTTTGTTAGCGGATGCTGCTACCCAGCTCACAAAATACCCGCACAGTCAGTCTTTTGGGCCTCGTTTGGAATGACTTGTGAGTGAAAGTATCCGTGTTTGAAAATTTGTGAACCAAATGACAGTCATGCGCATCGCTGCTGTGGGATTCAGTCTTACCTTAAAAAACGCGTTGTACGCCTTCTGTACTTTCAACATGCGGTGCAATCTACCGAACCGACCCTTCCTCTCTAAGGCGAGGACGTCAGACACTACCGTTTCAATCGTCTTGAGATAAGGTGCACACTAAGTCCACTCAGTGGTGTAGTTCGTTATAGCCCAGAGTTTGCCAACACCAGTTGATTCAGTTGTATTGACTTTTTGGCTCTTGGGTGCCATACAGCTCACAAAGAGAAAGTAGGATAGTGTTAGACTAATTAAGTCGAAAAACCAGAGGCGGGTTCGAATAATTGACTCTTGATTGGTAGATCCCATCTTTTTATCCGAATTATCTTTGTTTGCAACAAAAAGCGTGTAAATTCAATGCCCCTGCCTGTCAAAGATGGGCACACAGGGACTGTCGTGGATTGCAAAATACAGTGGTTCTGCTCTCGTGAGCTCTCCTTCTTATCTGTCGCTCCAATTTTTAAATTCTAGACCCAGTTTTAATGACTTTTGGTTATTCAGCTGAACTAGAGATATGATAGGATTATGTTAAGGACTGTAGGCAGGTAAATCTATCCGTACTTGTCCTAATTGTCCCACACAAATGGGACGTCGAATTCGACTGGAACTCTTTCTTTGATCTCGACAAATACACTTCTAACTACACGTGAGCTGATCGGCTTATTTACGGCACGGCACCCGTTAAACCGGGAAACACTATCTTGTTTGCTCGCTGTCTATCACCTTCTAGCGCTGTTTACGACCTTGTTAGGCTGCCTTGTGTTGCCCAACACGTCCACTCCCTGGACTATTGAACCGGTTCAAGTACTTTGGGACAGTGACAGACAACCAAGCATAAACTGGAAGTATTTTTGGTCCCAGTAGTACCAAGAGATTCAGTTGGTTTGGAAACTATCTCGTGTTATTGGTGGAAGTTATATTTTTCGAATCCATAAAAGCAGTGAACATCCGTGTGTATTAATTCGTTCCTCATCCATAAGCAAAACACTCACTCTTTCGAGATCCTTGAAAAACTTATCAGTACATTTCAGTGGATGGAAATGTGTTTTTCTGCATGCGTCGTTCCTATCGTGGCCATTAAAGTTCTTTTAACTAAACTGGTGTCTTCGAAGCCGTGGTTGTCAGGTCATGTGATCTGGGTGCCAAATTCATCGATTACGCTAAATATTCTTGGTCTTTAACTCACACTTCTAGTGTCTAGTGCACCTTTCGCTTACAGGTGTGAGAAAGAAGTTGTCGGTTTTGGGGCGAAAATTGCGCAAAATCGTCACAATCCTGTTTTCAACGCTTGCTGTCCAGAAAGTACCCATTAGTATACACTGAGTGAAAAATGGTTTTTCGGTGATTCCAAATGCGCTTGCTTTTTTATCGAATTTTCATCTTCAAATGAGGAACCTGAAATCTTCATACCGTAAAAGAGTTACTATTCGGTAGAGCAACTCTTCTTGCCTCCTCAAACTATGAGACTTTCTAGTTGTTTGGCACCAGTGTGTTAGATATGAGTAGATGTCTCGCATTATTCCTTCTCCACCGGATTTTCAGTGTTCGTTGGGGCTGTGATTGTGTTGAAGTTAAGTCCAGTAGTCACGGTACCGTCCACTCGAGGTTGTATCCAGTGAAACTGTTCTTCATAGTGGTGGTTTCTACGACGTGTGCTGAGAAAAATGCTTTTCAGGTTTGGTTAAACGCGTTGCGAAACTAATGGGTGCAAAATCCACTGCCAAAAGAGCTTTGGTAAAAGCACGAATCCTAATTGTTAGTTGTTAAATTAATAATCAGCCACACCTCTTTAACTTCCAAGACTTTTCTGTATATTTCCTGTCACCTGTGTGAAATATTTTGCACCGCTACAACTGCCCCCCTGCTGTTCATATTCAGCTACTATGCCAACAAATTCTCCGACTGGGACAAACAGTGTGCAACAAATCTGTTCCTGCGTATTTATCGCCCAATTGCCTGGACTGGTACCCTTTTCCAGCTGGCGTGTGAACAGCTGTATCATATGTGCGCGGTTCGTGCGCATGAAAACGGTCAATCTGGTGGTATTTCCACTAGTAATTCAACGTTCGATCCGAATGCCGATGCCATATTCACTGCACTTGCTGCGGCCTCCGGTGGTCCCATCTGGGATGTGACAAGTGACAGTCACATGCATTGGTTAGATGCTCTGAGTCGTCTGCCGGTCAACCAACGTCCTCTCACCGACTGGTGTCCTCGTCAACTGCTGGAAAGTCTACCACAGGGGTTGGAATGGACAAAGAAGTCGGAGCGACTGCAAGCGCGGGTGTTAAGACTTAACCCGAATGATAAGAGGTTAGTACAGTTCCCTATTTTTCTTTCTTTCGTTTTTTTATTGTAACGGCATTCCGCTTCTAATCACTCAAGGCGATATCATTGTTCACAAGCACATTCACTTTTAGCCAGTGTAAGTTATACATTTGGTTATTCTGGCAACACAGATATCTATCCACTAGTCTACCCGTACGCATCATAAGTCCTTTTGCTCTTATGTTAATAAACCCCTTTTCCCAGTCTTACTGCCTACATCATCTTCAGGATTGTCTCCAGTTCTAATACTGTAAACCCTACGCGTTGCTTTCTTTACAACAATGGTCGTTCCAGAAAAGATCAAAGGTCACTTACCAGATCAGATCACGTACCAACTTCGATAGGTTACAATGTCAGTGGATTTCCAAGTCAACCGGGGCAACAATGAACTAAGACTTGTTGCCATTTTGTATGCGCGAGGTAAAAGCCTAAGGGTTTGCTATCAATTACAGGCTTTTCATATTTCTCATAAGCCAACTAATTAGTACGGCAAGTGAGATTACACCTGTGGTGATCAGGAGCGAGGCTTCATGCCTGGAGTCTAATTCGTCCGAATCCATGACCAAAATTCACACCAATAGGCGTGCACCGACATATGTCACCTTGACTGACCGACTATTGTTTTTCCACACACCAACTAGCTCTTCCCCTTGGACCCCAGTTCACACTAGTGCCTTTAGCATTCTCCCCAGTCCCGATCCTCCGTTACTGCGGCGTGAATACAGTCCCTGTGCTCCTCTGTTTCTAGTGCCTATTATCAAGTCTTAGTTGCGTCCCTTGGTGGCCAGTTTAGTGGTCCCTCACCAACGGCGGCATGCCGTTCTGCATTTTCTGTCTTATGCAAACCATGCAGTTGTTACTTTTGGTTTTCAGCGTATGATTCCTGGTTCTGTCGGTTTTGATACTTCCTTCTTAAGGAGCTGTTTTGTGTCTGCCGTATCGTGCGGTTCTAGAATCACATCAGATATTCTCGTTTTGGATAGGCTGAAAACTGCTACTTGCTCCTGATATATCAGTTTCAACTGTTGTTGTGAACTATTCTGATCGGTGAATTCACGCCCCTTGTTAATTTACTTTTCCATATTTCCTTCAATAGAGTTGATTGGTTTTCCGAGCGCTACCAGCCTCAGACGTACGAATGTATAAACAAAGCTATGGAAACGCATGTACGCTGGATAGAACTTCTGGTGCACCCACCCAACCCAGACACTGTTTCTTCGGATGATATGGGCTTGGCGGACCATGATGAACAAGGTTATATCCATTACGTCAAGCATCACTCTGTAACATCCGATCACTCCACTCCTGGGTCGCCATTTTCCCACGTTCGTGGCACCAGATCTGTGCCAAACCTAGGGAAATGGTACAAGACTGATCGTCATCCAGTCGGCCGAAGAACATCGCTTCATCCAACTTTCGAAGAGGATGAAGAAGACTTGACAGAAATAGTCGCCTCTCCCTCCCCAGTACCTCGTGCCCAAAAACCAACTGATGATCGCAAAACAAAACAAACCGTAGAAAAGGTTGTGGATGACGAGGAAACTAGCTCAGATAGGTGAGTTTGGAGATTATAGGCTAATTGAACCTGTAGTCACGCTACGCAGACTTGTGTTGATTGCAGAAACTATCCGTGATCAAATTGTACAACTTTACGACTACTAACAGCGGTAAAGGTCACAAGTTTGAATCTCTCTGGATATACTATCATTATACTCTGTGGTAGTTCAGTTCAGTTTTATTCGTCATGCTTCAACTCAATTCAACGAAGGCTTTGTACATCTGGCGGTGAATTCTTAGCACACAAAATTACATCGGTGTCAAACAGCCGAGATAGATCGGTGGTTGAGGCACGAACGTACTGAACAGAAGGTCCGTGTGTCTAACCCAACCTCGGCATCTCGGCTGTCCCCGTCTAGGCTTTGGTAATATGGCAGGATCTCATCCCTCGTTTTTCCTTCAGGTGATACGGCAGCTAGATGCCGATTATCATCACATAATTTTTAAGCACGTTTATCGAGAATGAGGGTATTAATCGAACAAGAAGACTTTGCCGCGGATCCCTCATCACCAACCTACTGTCGATGAGATGTCGGCTGCGTAAAAAAGTAGAGAGTACTTTAGATAAAACGTGATCAGTTTGCTGTTGTGTACGAACGAATCGTTTGGGCAAGCGTCACTTTGTTTGAAGACCGGCAAATGAATAAGGGACGGCCCTTGGAATCGCACCATGTCTCGAAACATGCTGTGATGGTCTTCAAGTAAGACAAGACCATCGGGTTCAAGGAATGCAAATGGAGAACAATGAACCCATTGTGATAACATTCATACAGTGGTAAACCCCGTCGTATGATTTTTTTAATCTATAAAATGTCCTCAGTCCGAATGCGCCGAACTTTCACGAAGGCCAGTTCAGTGTGATAAATCCAGCTGAAGTTTCTCGTGACTATTTTAATCGGGACGTCGTCGAGAGCAGAGGTGAGTAGTTATAAAGCTTCTCCTCATAGCACCTACCTAGAATCACTGAGAGTCCTGGGTCCTTAAAGTTTGGGACATTGAGGAATTGATAACGCCTCTGAGACCAATTCATCGGTTTCAAGTTCACTGTTTACTGAGTGCAATTGATGGAAATGATCACATCGTCATCGACACACTTGCACTGAGTGAGAGGATCGGGAATGAATGTGAAACCGATGCTGAGGGAAAAAACAATTGATGTAGTATGAGCCCTTGAAGGACACCGGTGTCACTGTGTAGCGGAGTGAATTTCCGGCCCCTTGTGTCCGGTTAGTGAAGTAATTCTGGATCAATTTAAGCATATTTTGCTCCGTCCCACGATCTGTAAATAGCTGCTACAATACACTTCGGTTGATGCCAGCAGACACGTTTGTGTATCCCAGAGATGGTGATCGTAGAGCCGCGTGATTTCTGCTAAATAAGAGGGTAACTTAGTGGGCATCCGGCGCAGAGTTTGACTGTCGTTAGGTAAAATGGCGTGGGTCTTCAACGGGTGAGCCTAAGAGTACAGATCTAAACGATTTTAGAATAGCGGAGGTGTACATTGCTGGTCGAAATTTTAGTTCCTCTTTTTGGCAGTAATGTATGACTGATTCTAAGAGTCCCAATCCTAGAGCTACGTAAACACAAGTCAAATAACACTGCCCGAATCGGAAATGACGTCGTTCATGAACTGAACAGGGTGATACGTCCCAGGTTAACTATCACTGGTATCGGAGTGTATCTGCTTGGTAGTTCGGCTATTTAGTCATCAGTTTCAACTTGATACCTTATTTAGGAGACTGACGAAGAATTTGCCTAAAATTCCCCGTGACGTTCTTAAATAACTCTCAATTTGCGATTGTTGTTTCTGGTTAAGTACAAGGTATTTACACTGTTCGCAAATCTTGACTTACGTCAACCGTTTCTCGCAGATGCTTATTTGCCGCCAAATGTGATATCTCTTATTGCTACCGCCTTTAAAAAGCTACCTGGAGGTCAGATCCGTACGGATGAAAACCCGCTTAATTTAAGGCCCGACCACTCTTATATAACATTTAATGGCTCTTCTTTGTATTTTCATTTGGGCCCCACAGCGTCTTTTCGACGCTGCTAGACTGCTTATTTGCCCGCCAAATGTGATATCTCTTATTGCTACTGCCTTTAAAAAGCTACCTGGAGGTCAGATCCGTACGGATGAAAACCCGCTTAATTTGAGACCCGACCACTCTTATATAACATTTAATGGCTCTTCTTTGTATTTTCATTTGGGCCCCACAGCGTCTTTTCGACGCTGCTAGACTCTCCATCCAGTATGCCTGATTGAACAGTCTCCCTGTTCTTTTCCAGCGATTCTGCGGACTCTACATGCAGCTTCTTAAAGGTATTCCCTCCAATGATAGGGTTTACGCACGCTGCTCATCCTTCAGAAGCGCCTCGGGGTGCGATGACGCCAAGTCGTCGCAGTGCCAGCCATACCCGAGCATCGTCGTCAATTGTGCTTGATAGCTACATCACAGCCCTCAGAAGCTGGTCTCCTCTGTCCTCTCACTTCGACCCAAATGCAGCAAATGCTTATGTGAAGCCAGTCGACATTGTCGGTTATCAACGTAAGTCAGGACTTAACATTGCTGATGTCTTCGGTGGGACAGGATGCCTAATTTTTTTCAAGCACCCAAATGAGATTTGTGCCTGATTCTCAGCTGATAAGGTGATTGATTAGTTTTCGGAAGTGGCATCCAAAGGCGTTTGTATTTTAATCTCACTGTAAGAGACTTGCGACTCGATTTTATTTCCTCCGCCTTATAGCATATTTCAGTATCATCATCACCAGCAGCAACAGTATTTCATCTCGACATATGGAATACAGGGTTTGTCGTGTCTTGACATTTCAATTTCTCTTCCTAGTTGCAAGTGCAAAACACTCAATTTGTGCAGGGTGCGGACATGGTAACTTCAAGATGTGGATATCGAATAACACATTACTATGAGGGAGGGTAGGGTTGGGTTGAGTTCACTTCCGGAGTAAGCAACAAAACAGTGATACCTTGAAAAGAATGAACCAAGGAGGGAAAGGGACAAAGTACCAATCTGACATCCAAAACATATACACCCTGGATACTTGCTGATAATAAATATTTCCGAGATCATGATTTTAAGGTCCATCTTCTTGGTGAACTTATTTCACTATCGACTTCATGTAGACGTGAACAGAAGTGTTCAAACTAAGTACTTTTCTGTCCATACTATGTCGTTTGGCTGATTCTCAAGTGTTGTTCGTCGTGTCTCTTTCAGAACGAACACTGTTCGACATGCTACTAGGTGATGACGAAGATAACGAAAAGTTCAGATGGTGTTACTTAGATCTGGCTTCTAGGATGGGTTCCTTGTAACGTTTTCTGCGCTCGACTGAAACTGCTTTAGAATTTGGCGACCAACCTATTTCAGTAACGTTCTTGTTTTCCGTTCTCGTATAGATTGTCTAACTGAGTGTTCGGGGTCTTGGGCGGAAGTTACTTCTAAACAAAACATGAGTTTTGCGCAAGTGATTGTGTGGATCTTGCTACCTGTGATGATAAGAAGGAGATTGAAGGCTACGTAGAATATAATACTACTGATAATAAATGGTCGATAATTTCCAAACTTTCTCTTGTATCGAATGACAGGTTATGTGGAATTTCAATGTTCTACTCCTGTGCTAAGTGGTGTCAACCCAGTCTCCACCATCCTGGTACCTCCCAGTGAGGCGTCGATGGAAACCTATCGGGTAAGTTGTTGCTTTAGCTCAGTAACAGTCCTTCCTTAGGTTTATCTGCATCTTTACCGGTTGGCTCTGTTCCTCTGGTGTCGTTCGTAATTTTTGAGCCCTACCCAGATGGTACCTTGTCTCTCTATCGCTATTTGTTGAAGTACCATCATCACTTCGAGAGTGCGTCCAAGTCAGTTTCCTTGACGATGAATCCAAATAGGAACCCAAAGACATTATGATGTATCATTCCTCCATGAGTATTCTATCCTCTATTCATGCGGATGAGATGGCTCAGTGGTTAGCACACGAGTTTACACACCGGAACGTTCGTGGTTCGAACCCGACCTCTGCCGCTCGACTTCCCCTGTCTAGGCTTCAGCAACCTGGCAACATTCCCGCCCTCGTGCTTCCTCCTGGTGGCATGGCAGTTAGGCACTGGAAGAGTGTTACAACTGAACGATCCTATCTTCATCTTTAAATCACAGAACTCTATCCCAATCATGATTGTACTGTGTGTATCCAACCGTTTATATGAGGCAGCACTACTGAGCCCGGTTCCAACCTATGAGAGTAGTAAGTTACCTCCGACGTGAGTCACCTTGTAAATTCAACGAGACCGCTGTCACTTTGCGTTTTACGAAGACACACTACACTGGTCTTTTGTTCAAAGCTGCTCGTTTTTGGTCAGTTTTCATATGGAAACTATTCGACCGTTTGTGCTATGCTGTAGGGACTGGTATGGAGGTGTTAACGTTCTGATTCACCCTAGTCCTTATCCCGCCTATATTCCTCTCCGTTATTCGACTCTTTGCAGAACCAAGTGAAATTGCTGGAAGGTCGAATGTGTTCTGTTCCAGCTAATTCTATGGCAATCTATCGTGCGAGCGCCATGGTTGCTGATGCCCTGCACTGTTAAACCATACCACGTGCACCTTGCCGTGCTCTTTCGATCACGTGTCTTTCATCCTCCTATTTGTTTGTGGATGTCTTTCTAGCGTTGATCATCGACCACCGCCGTGAACTGCCCGGCCGAGCGGTGTCAGGTGACTTCGACAATTGCACCTCCATTCCATTTGATATTTCCTATAACTATTCTTGCCCTGTGGTTTGATTCGCCACCTATCAGTGCCATTTTTGTTTTCGACTATATCTTTTGATCCAGCGATGTATTCTAATACATTAAATTGTTTGGGATGTTCCTCCAAAAACTGAGAAACTGAAAAAGAATATCACACAACCAATATCGACTTTACTTACGGTACAGAGCTTTGACAATCTAGCAGCATTTGAATTATAAAAAACGCTACAACGGAGAAATTACAGCATTTTCCTGGTAAACCACTCATAGATGGTTCACATCATGGTTTGCTGTTAACCTGAACGCTGTGTGCGAACGTTTTTCTCCTTCCCCTTCCTTAGTCAGAAACCCCATCGTCATGTTATCATGGGAACACTCGAAGAAACGTCCCCATCAATCGTAATATTTTGGAGACACAGTTTTTCATTGCAATCGTACTTCGATGATACCACCCCTCCATAACTCAGGAATTTGGTTGATTCTCTATAAATGATGACTACGGTGGGAGTGTCCTATGTTATCCACCTAAGTTCATTGGTAAAGGAATGCTTTAGACTATTGGTGTCAGGGGCGCACCATACCGGCGAACTCCACTTTGTTGGACTTGAGGGAGCATGGCTTACAACTTGGTCTTAGATTACTATGCAGTTTTAATACAAATTTAAAATCGTAAAGATAAATGATGAGGCAAAATAATGCAATCATCATTACCTTGGACATGCGTCTATGGAGAAAGAGGGCTGTAGTAAAGAGTGGAAATAAACTACAGAAGAGAACTCTTGTGGTGGAGGATTTGTCAAGCCCGGTGAATCAATCAATAAACAACTGAGCAATAATCAGAAACCAGGTGGCCATACCTAAAACCATTGAGTATCTTGTTAGAGCAAGATGCTACCAGCGAACCTCGCCTGAAGACCGACAGACCAGTGTTACTTAGGAAATTCGGCTAGGTAGTGATCTTAAGCTCACCAATGGGGCTGTCCAGCTGCGTGCAAGGTGACACGCAAATCCAACTCAGGAAAGTTTGGGGATCCCACAGCACTCAACCTGATCTTAACGGTCCTTATTTCGCACTGTTACGTCGCGGCTAGGTTACCGCGATCGGTACCGTCCTCCCTATCCCTTCAAAACACACTAATACAAGGGCATGCCGAAAACGAAGTTTGGATCTTGCAACTAGGCATGAAACTGGTACATTGTAGAACCAGGTGGAACCTTTCGAGGTTGTGCTTGTCCGGACAATAATACGTAATAGCTGTGTGAATAAGGTATCTCACACGGGAAGCATACATGTCAGTAATGTCTATGGTATAAAGCGGTTTGAGGTACAAGTTTTATCAGGCGTCCTCTATACACTCGATAGGAATGATGAAGAAATATTATTTTAGATTGTTAAAAAACGAATCAAGCAACCAGAAGAACGGATTTACTGGTGACGAACTTTGTGCTGTAACATCTTAGTAGTCCTGTGGGGTTAAAGGAAGTTGGCCAGTGTTTGCTGTATTGTTGGCCGCTTGTCTGTGCGCTGCATAAAATATTGTTAAAAGCGTTCCATCACTCTTTACAATGGCCTGATTGTTTCAGTTTCGAAGGAAACTGACAAACAAAGTAAGCCGATGGAAGACTCGAATTGGTTAAATTCTGGTTTTCGCTGTACAGCTTATCCGGACCATTTTAAGTACAAACTCCGTGTCCTGTCATCGGGTTTCGTGTTATTTGCTCTATTTGTCTTGTTTTTTTTTCGGTTCAAAACAGTTCTGTTAATAATGCTGCTTCCTATGGGTCCAAAAGTACAGTGGAGTTTTGTGGTGGATCACCAGTTTTTTTGCTTACCGCCAATTCACCAGCGTCTTTGACACGGAATCGATCGGTGAGCGTGGAATATAAGCTCGATGGATCACACTGAAAAATGTGTTTTTGTCCATACTAGTGTTTGAAAGAATATAATTGATGCTTGTGCGGCATTCAAACGGATATAATGTCAACCTAACAGTATGAATAGGCTGTATTGAAAACGAAATTTGGTCTTAGTGTGCTATGTGTCATGATTTTGGGTTTGTTAGTGATTTGGCGAAGTTTCGTTCGCTTAGTCTGATCAACAGCCGAAAGCCCGAATACTTTACTAAATCCACTGGTAAACATTCGTTTCTGTGCTGACTTCAACTGAGTTGTGCAAGGCAAGCGTTTAGCGTCGTATGATCCCTGGCAAAACCACCTTTTACTCGGATACGATGCTGGGGTTTGATTATATCGGTGTTGTTCATCTTGTGGGAAATGTTTGCCACCTTGATCGGCCCTAGGTAGTTCTCAAGTGTATGGGTCTTCCTCTCGATTGTTTTCTCTAGGGATACAGGTTTTCGCAAAAAAAAATCTCTCGCTTTTCTTTATTTTCACACTCTGCAAACGCTCCGTTTTCCTTTGGTTGTATGACTGTTGATGACCAGTGTGTACTGATAGTGTATTCCCATCTATCTATTCTATTCCTATCTATCTATTTTGTAGTGGCCAGAGCTCTTCACTTAACAGGTGGGCCCGCGTCAGCTTCGGTTAGTTCTGTAGCTGAAGTTTAATGTACATGTTAATCCACTGTCAGTGTAGCTTTGTATAGTTTGTCTTCTGTTAACAGTGTAGGTGACTCCTTACCGTCAACATCCAAGCAGTCTTGCTACAAGTGAGATCTTACTAAGACGTGAAGAGAATTTCCCAAGACATAGAAATCCCAACCGTAGATGCAACCAATCTCCCTAAATGGGAATGCCACAGGGAGAGGTGCTGTTTGGTTTCCGTGAGCCCCATAATCGATCGTGGCTTAGAGTATCTTTTGGGGTGGTTACTATGTTCTGCTCAGTGCCTAATTAGGATAGCGCGGTGTGAAGTTTAATAAGTGTGTACCATTCCGTGAGTGGTTGAGAAAAAGTTCTGTCCTACCCGCCTGACCCTCAGCACGATAGCCGAGTGGCTAAATAGCATTGGCAACACTAGTAGATGTACTGTACTGAAGAAAGTTATGGTACTTCGTCCCAACAACTTTGCCCTCACGAAGTGTATTGCCTCGAATGCAAGCATCGAGGAGTTTAAGTGACATATGCCACTTATATAGTGGTTCATCAGCTTAGGTCATTAGTTAGGACTACATCCCTTTCAAATTTCAATTGTCCTGAGATTCCGAATCACTTGTTGAATGCAGTTCTTCCCTGACATCACTTCACTCCTCGAAAGGAGTTGCGTTTCGACTAGAAAACGTTGTGGAAGGACATCTTGCTGAACAAAAACATAAGTTATACACGATTTATGAATTCAAACAGCTAAAAAGTCATTGTCACAGCATATTTCACCTCTCTGTGTCTCTCCTAGTTGACCACAAAATTCTTGAAGTCGTTCTCCATACCCCCATGACGTCCCGTAGTTAGCCGCGGTTTGATGTGATGCGGTCCCGAAATGCCATTTGTACACTAATATTGCAAGCTTAGCGCCAGGTTATTCAGTGTGCACGTTATTCACTGACCTATGAGGAGACATCCGATCAGTTGTTCGCAGTTGTATCGGATGCCAGTTGGACCGGCAATCTACACTACTGAGAAGTCAAGTCAAGAATAAACATCGATTAAGTACTGTGGCTAGTCTTGTTTTAGTCTGTACGACTCTCATTGAGATTCAATGCTAGCCATGTTGAAGGTTTGAATATCTGATATCTCAGAGGAGTGGGACATGTCTGGTCTACGAAATTTATTTGCTCGCGGCCCGTCATGATCAACATCATCCATCGCGTCTAGGAAGGTGTCCAATAAAGGTAGAAATTGTTGATAGTTTGAGGAGATTTGGGATTTTTGTGGTGATTTCGCCCTGTTAGTGAAGCCAGTCTATGCTGAAAAGCCGAGAAGCACTGTACAGCTGTTTCATCCTTATTGGGAATCATCAGCAGTGCGCATCTCACGAAACTCCGAAGAGTCTCGAACCCGCGACCTCCCGGCTAGTAGTTTGAACACTTAACCGTTCGGCCACGAGTGGCTGATCAGCATTGTGGTTAACTCGCACTTAGACAGGATGTAGCGCCGCTCATCCTTCAATCACGGGATCCACATCACGCGGTCACACGTGTTGACTGGCTCCTCGAGCAACGACTTTTCAGATAGATGCGCACTGCTGATGATTCCCAATAAGGATGAAACAGCTGTACAGTGCTTCTCGGCTTCTCAGCATAGATTGGCTTCACTTACAGGACGAAATCACCACAAAGGTAGAAGTGACTGGCTGAGACCTGGCACAAATCGACGACCCAAACCACATGCCGACAATGTGGCAAGTGTTATGTGACATGGCTACCCGCACGATAGCACATCAAATTGCGGAGTCCGTCTGGCAAACTGTCTGGACAAATACCCTCATTTGCATATCAATTTGGTTTTCACGGGAGACTCAGTTGAATGTGCTGCACAAAGTCCGCTTCATGTTTCCTACTTGGTTGACGCAAGGAGGACATCAGGGCGCAATCAGGGTTACAATTAAAAAAACTGTATGCACAACCCCACCGATGATGAAAGATGACCGGAGGAGGATCATAGTTGGTCATAGAACACAGCTGGTAGTTGATATGGGTGGAGGCCAGTGTGAAAATATATTCACCTGTTGCAAACTTCAGGGTGGATGGTCTAGCTATTGGGAAATTTAGACTTTTTTCATAAAAGAAACTACCCACAAGGTTGATGAAGGCTCTTCGACAGCCCACGACCGGTTTTGCCCTTCTTAGGGCTCATCAGGTAGGCGCAATCCCCGAGTTTCCGTTGACCTTATGTTCTACATGAAACCAAACGAAATTAGCGAATATGCACACATTTGCAAACTAATTTGATTGTTCGAGAAACTCACCTGGGATCCAGCTGGATCTCTCGTTTATGATGTTTCTTAGCAACTGAATGTCCTGCAACGGGCCACTTTATGTTTAAGTTGTTACGATATTCGAGATATCGCGATACATATATATTAGTAATACACTACTCATAAGGTTGCTGAAAATCCGTCGACAGCCCATGACCGGTTTCGCCCTTCTTGGGACGCATCAGGTAGGTGCAATTCCCGTCAACTTTATGCTCTACTTGAACCCAAGTTACACGGAACACCATCTCCTGTTTTGTCATTAACAGCTTGTGGAATCTATATTCTGATATGCTATTCCCCCGAACGTCGCACCAGCCCTCGTATCTATCTTTTATCATAACTAAAAATTTTACATTAGTGGAATGGTAGAGCTGTCAGAATGCTAATGAGCCTGTCCATTAATCTGTGTTTGCTTCGAGTGGGATCCATCAGGACATTGCAATTCGGTCACCGGCGGTTACCATTTCCAGGCAAACTCACACTTGTGAGGGAGCTAAATGTATTCCTTGTCTGGAGGTGGTTTCTACACAAGGGGAACAGTCTTTTGAAAGAAGTATCCTGATTCAACCTTTTCCTCTTTTCGTTCATTGTGATTTGAATACTTATCTTCTGTAGCTCAATTGATTTGGGGGCGTTTCAGCAAATTTCGTATCACGGCCCAGATGTACCACAGAGAATTGCGAAAACAATGAGTCGTAGGATCCCTCACTGGTTATCTAACTACTCACTGAGTTTGGCAGTTTTTTTTCGAAACCAAGTCGCCAAGCTCACTGAGCATCGTTTTACTATCCGACTTATGGTCTCTCTAGGAAAGAATGGATTGTTAACAACATGGTGGGACCAGACTCTCCAACATTGTACATTGTGAAGCTTCGCGATTACTTTCCATATCATGTCGGACTCAGTATGTTGCTACTCGAGATGACAAGTGCTTGGGAACTGAGGGGCCTAGACTACATAAATAAGCAGTGAAAATCAAGAAAAAGTGGTGATCTTAACCGCGTTTTGAAAGCGGAGTAGAATTCGGCTAACCACCCTACCGATCAGCTAACCGTGTCTTCAAGGTGGTAGGGATGGCTGTGGGTTCGAGTCCTGTCAGCTGCACATCAACGACCAGTTTCATTGAGGCTGAATGTATGCAAATATATACCTACCTTCAGTTTACCTTGAGGAGGATGACCAAAACCATCTACGGTATTACACTTTTTCATACATGTCGAATCAGGTGCATCTTTATACAGGATTAAATTAGAATGATGTTCAATTTACAGGGGACAAATTTCGTTTCGGGTAAACTATAGCAAAATCTAAAAAAAAACATTATGTACTTTACGCCGCGTAAAGATATCCAAGAATCAACGTTCTTCGTTACTTTTGGCATCCAGTCTAGTACACATCCTACAAGCGCGAAGGTTTTGCTTGCTTTGATGTGATAATCCAGGTGAGCGTGGGGTGTAGACAACACACTTGTAATACGTCCACATCTAGCAATGAAATAAGGAACTGTGGACACCTTTTGACAGTAAAATCGGTTGTCTCATCATACTCTGAGCACTGCATCTAACACGTGACCTGTTCGCAACGGCAAACTAAATTAAGCTGGGTAGTCCCGCTAGGATATGAGATCATAAGTTTTGGTTGCGTACCAGATTCTGTGAAGTCGATAACCACGTTTGAAAAGCGTCAGGTTGGTCCAAATCAAGAAAGTATAGTGATCCGGCCATACCCAATTTGAGTGAAGCCACTTTCACTCTAACCTGATGTTCTCAATAGCCGCTCAGAATGGAAAACATAGTGTTTTCGGTTGGACGATAGTTAGGTGCGTAATACACGTCCCAGACAACTGAATTTGCCGATTTCAGCCGAGTACTCTCGACAAATCACCTACACCTTCCGTGTTGACCACTTTATTACGCACATGCTAAGTCGATTAATACTTGTTATGTCAAAATGACTTGCTCGTCTCCGACCGCGAGTGACCTACCAAGTCTCGGTATCAACAAAGATGCGAGCTGATGATGAACTCTTATGAGAGTGAAACCCAGGTAATTCAGTGGAGCAACTGCGCAAGCAGAGAACCGCTCAAATGAGAGTAACGTGGACACAAACTTAATAAAATCCGTAACTACCTACTAAAAACTTTGGCAGATGCTTACTCCAAGGCACTTTAGGATATCTACATCGTATGGACTGTAATTATCCACTTTATTTCTCCCTTATTCTGGAAATGTCCAACCCAAAGTATGAATTATTCTAGGGATTAGCGACGGGCTAATCACAGCACAGACAATTGGGTATGGCTCGGCTTCTGTAGCCGTTCGCTACCGAAGTCTGATCACCTAACCATCTAGGCTCTCCCCATATTATCTCTCATTGCTCCTCGGTAAATGTGCTCCTCGGCAACCCAAATCCTTATGCTATCTGCTTATCTCTTGAGAAAGACCGCTCTCATAAAATACTAACTTATATCCTTCAAATCCTGTCTTACATAACCTGAAGCTCGTTCTTCGCAGTTGTAACTCATGTGTATCTGTATACCATACATCCAGCCAGAATGAGTCATAAAATAGTGCAGTACACGATGATTGCATGTTTACTAGCCGGTTGCTGTCCTACGATTCACAGGTGAATACATCTCAGTTTCCGTGGGGCATATGTGGCAAGACACAATCAGAAAACTGATTAGCCAGTCAATATAGGCTATCAACGTTTACCACGTTTTCTTCTGCTATTGGTGTAGCCGAAGACAGCGTGAATTGTTAACATCATTCGAGAGACGGAAATCGATAGCCCAACCATCAGTGTGTAGACTGGAACCTCTTCTAGCCATCCAAAGATTTTTTCCGGGCACGGTTCGTTTATTATCCGGGAGTACCATGGTGCAGGGACAACAGTTTGCATACCGTATTCTTCTTGCCTCACCAGCTGAGCCATAGTTTGTGGTCCGCGTATCTTTGCAAAGCCGCAGGTCGGGTCAATCTTCAAGATCCCGATGCAACATGAGGCTGGCACCCACGGTTCCTGAGTATCTCCATCCGTTCTTGGGGGAAACGGTACTACGTCCTTCCACTCACGATGCCATTCGTCCACACCACAACACTCAAACCGTGAATGAATCGCATCCAGCGCACTTCTGGCCACATCGGATAGGTCGTAGCTACGAACCAGTCGCAAAGTTGAATCGTGCAGTAGGGTAAGGCCAAATACGTTTTCTCGATAGCGAGCCAATGTAATCATGACCAGCATTTCTCCTGCGAAGCCAATCAAAGCGAAGAGGAAAAACATCATAGCCACTGACCTTCTGTTTGCCCTAGCAGTTCGAATTGCAGCACCAAAGGTAACCAAAGTCCAGCCTGATAGAATAATTGCACAAGTTTGCGAGAGGCGCGTCAGAGGTGCACCAAAAATGGCCTGCACGGCTGAGTCATAAATGTAGAGCAACAACATGCCAGTTCCGAGAAATAAAGTGGAAACAAATAGCCACACGCACAATAGCGCCCAAACAAAAATGCGAGTGTTAATACGCACTGCCATCCCAGTTTAATACTGAGATGTATTCTGTTCTTCTGGCAGTTGAATCATGTGCAGAGGAGCACATAGTGTGACACCGTGTGTTTTAAACCCAAGGTCGATACGGTGATAAGCACGTGACCAGGTCAACTTCATTGACTAGGTTGGATTGTAGAGACAATCTAAGTGAAACAAATCAATCAGTCGTGGAGATGCAGAAAACACTCATGCTCACTAAGCCTTCCGAAGAATTTAGCCGATAAATTTTAGCACAAATATGTAGACATTTTGTAGTTAAAAGAGGTTTCCACACTGGGAATAACGGTTTCCAGAACTCTTGTTCAACCAGGGCCGAACTAACGAATGACCCTACATTGGGGTGAATGCGAAATTTTCTCCTTGGTTGCTGAATACATAGCTCAACTCTTCGATGGTTTTCACCACATTACCTGCTAAATCAGGCTAATATCAGTGTTATCTAACTTGGAAAATAAAACTGATTCTCAGATGCCTGACTGCTATCGTGTGTAAAGGAAAATTCTGGCTGCCAAACATAGCCCTATCAAAAAGGATTTTTTCCAGGTCGGCGATGCAAGATAGAACTTGACGAATGAACTAATTTCCAAATGCCACCAAGTCTACTTGCTCATATCGGATTTAACCCTTCTGTCATCTGCTATTTGATGAATTCAATAAGTGATCGATGGATAGTACATGAATGAATAGTGCATGAATACCGAACTGAAAATGAATGCCGTGGACTGCAAATTAACCTCAGTTGATAGATTACGAGTTATTTTGCCTTCCCCCGGGATAACCCTGTCTTGTGCAAACTTTGTAACAGTACGCGGTTTCACCAGCGGTGAACAAGGTCGCGCCGGTCGTTCACGGTTATGCACCTCTACATGTAGGCTAAATACTGTATTACCCTGGCCCGTGGATTCCTGAAATAACATCAATTTTCCCATGTTGTTCATGATTATAGACAGTCCTGTTGGACGCAATACCGGACAGAAGATGGCTATAAAGAGAACAACCAGATCTTGTACTCTGTTGTTATTAGTTAATGTATAAGACTGAAATTTCACAATTATTATTATCATTATTATTTCTTTCTAATGAAGTCCCTAGAAGTATTTACGAGTCGGTTTCCTTGTACAGAAGAAGAGAAATAGAGCACAATGGTATTTTTATATGAAAAACTCAGATTAAAGCCTACGATGCTCCACCGGATGAACCGCTCTGGTGGCGCAATTAGTTTTGATATGAACTCAAAATACAAAGGCCACTTCCAGTATTATGAACTGCGTTGGCACCGGCTGTGTGCCTGAAGGCTGTGATGAAAACTGTGTCTAAGAGCTGTTATCAGTGTATATCATTTCAGTGCATTTTAGTAACGGAGTTGGTCATTCCTTCTCACCTTCTCAGTTTTTCCGTCCATAAGCAAACACGAAAGAATTTCTGAGGTAACACACTACTCATAAGGTTGCTGAATATTCTTCTCTAGCCCTTCTTTGGGCTCATCAGGTAGACTTATTCACCGAGTTTACATCGGCCTCACTTTCTACTCGGAAACAAATCGCATGAAATTCGCCAAGTACACTGATTTGCATGCCATTTTGTTTNTCATCGGAGATTGCCTGAATAACAACCGAAGCTCTCGTTTATGACATCAGTTTTCAGCTTTGAAGCTACTACGTCTCTAAAAGGGCTATACGGGGTTGCTTCGTTGGAGTGACAAACAGCACTGGGAACGCTTAGGTGGCTTTAATCTAGCTAGGACAACAGTCCAGTTCCCGAAGGGATTTTTCTCGAAAGTTCCCTCAAGGACGTTACATAATTTATCACTTCTGCTTATCTGACATGTAACAAGGCACCTTTGTTTCCAAATAATTCCCAGTGCATTGGTAAAAAAGCGGTTTACGGTAAATATGATCCTGTAAACTGACTCGCTCAATATGTACTAACTTGTGCAGTATGATGACTAAATAGCTGTAAACCCACCGACTAACACACTGAATGTTTATACAGGCATCTTGCTTTTTGATGGGATTAACTTCTGTCTGAATGTTAAGCTTCATGTGAGTGTTTTGAAAGAATGCCAGCAGACTATCATCTTTGTGTTTGAACCACTTGAAGGTGAGGTCATAACAATTCCGAAGCCTTGCTGCCACTGTGTGTCTAGTTTCACCAGAGGTAATTTCTGACCCAGTATCCACCCATAAATGATAGGGGGACGTTGTCTGCAGGCTTAGGGAAAGACATGATGCGGTAAGTACTTGCAACGTCTAGTGNAGTGGTTGTTGTTCCCAACTAGATCGTCCGCTTAAGTGCGTCGAGGTTTTCCTGTCAGCAAAAGAGGAAAGATAAACTCGGTCAGATGCCGTTTACGACGCAACACTGAAAGGGCAATGACTGCTTCAAATCGAGTAAAAAGTTGCAACCATTTGGAACCTATCAGTTTTCGAACTAGTGGATCATAAACGATGAAGCCTATTCAAAGAGAGTAATGTATCCTGCCAGCAACATTGTAGTTATTCTCACAGGCGTCTTCCCCAATTCATTCATGGGTTCCTTCTCACAAATACCACTTTTGATAGAACAATAATCCACTGAAGTTTATAATTCTCTCGGTTCGCTCTTTGCATCAGTGCATTTGGCAAAAAGCCTACTATTCTTTTACTGAAAATTTAGTTTCTTGAATACCGAGTTTCGATTGATAAAGAGTGCTTTTGTTTCTGCACCAGAGCACTTAGGTCAGGCACTCTAAAAAAGTGAAAGCAACATTCCGAAAGTTTGGACAAAATCTGAATACTGAAGACAGTACATTTGAAACCTGCCTTAGGCAGATATAAATACATCGCAAAACGGACGCAAATACACACATATTTGACAGGCCGATCGATTAGCTGATTGGTCTCTCGCAAATATGTTGTCAGACGGCGATAGAGATATGGTAGTTTTTTGTTTCATGATCTACTTTATATATGTCTGATTCGTTGAAAGGTTGATAAGATGAATACAGAAGGGCAACAAATAATCCAAAACTGTATCATAAATTAAAGTGTATCCGTAGCGCGTCCACCTTTTGACCACTTGCTTTCGCGATATATCGCCTTGATCTCATGGAGGTTTGAAATGAATGAGGACAAAATTTCCTATGATTCCTAAGTGAAGATACGGTGATATTTACACATCTAAACACGCCTTGAGTGTCACTAGTTTAAGCAGCATACACGGTTCCCGAAGAAAGATCCTCTCTCCTGGCACAATCGAACGTTGTGCACAATGTATCAGTCAGTCTGAGGCGATGGAGCGCCAAGACAAGGAGAGAAAAGATACTGTCCATTCGTCGTTGCTGGCGAGTCTTTAGATGTAAAAAAACGCGACTACTTACGAACAAAAAAGAAAGAACAATGGTAACATTTGGATTGGGTCCTATCCAAACGAATAGAGAATTTTTGCTAGACCGGCCCACACTAAAGCATTTTCGAAATTCCGCAATTAGAACACAACCGTGAGGTCACATGTTGAGTCAAATACGGGACTAAAAAGTTTGTATGATCAGAGATCTCGTAAGAAAAAGCGCGTTAAGGGATGCTGTAGAAGACGGAAGGGATCATATCGAGGAGATATCAGCAAGTTTTTCTGTCTATCCCTCAAGCTTTCAATGAGTTGAGTTAGAGGATATATTGACGGGGGAGCTTATCACTTCAAGGCAATAAAATCAATCTTTTACAGTCCTCGAAATCGGATGTTGAATAGTGCGGTATTCTGAGCAGGGTAACAATAAGAGTGAAGGATTCAATCACAGAGATGTTATTATTTACCTCACTAATCACCCATAAGGGTCACTCAAAGAGAAACTTCATTCGAGAAATGGTCTCTCTTGAGAATGACTAACCCATAGGCTCACAGCTGTAGCAGTTCTGGCATGGAGATAAAGACCAATTTCAAGATACTCAACCACCTCCAAAAATGACGTATCTGAGGCAAGTGATCTAACGCCTAGTTGGTGCTAAATACCGAATTCTGTATCTTGTTGCTATTTGTTTTGAGATCTATTGGTTCGTATGCACCCAGAGCATTGCCCGAAACAGCTGAGTTAGCTGATCAAAATGTGTCAATTTCACACCAAATCACACAAAACTGCAGTCAAGTTGTGTTGGTAGAGAGGCGGCTTCACTTGGATGAAGGATGAAAGTGTGTGGATGGATTCGTGTTCCACACAACTTGAGGTTATCTTAAGAGTTCTACGGAGGAATACAACATCTTTCGATCAGGCAGATGAAGCGCCTGATGGTGTGGTGAGAAATGATTTTGTCCGATAACTTATGTATCCGAATCGCATGAAACGACTTTCATTCTAATCAATGAGACCTACCAACCTCCCGCCCATATTCTCAACTTTTGGTCGCATTTCTCCTCGATTCTACGTCCTGTATGCCAAACCAGCGCTATGTTTCACTTATCGAGGTTTTCGAAACGAAATAAATGTCGTTACATTTTGGGTAGTAACCTCATCAACTTTCCCGGAAGTCTGTATATTGTGCCTCATTTAACGATAGATTGTGGTTTAAAGTGTAGGTTGTTTATAGTAGGAACCTATTACCTGGTTTTCCGTTATTTTTTATGGCTAGGGTAACCTGGCAGCCTCTCATTCCTGGTGTTTTATCAGGATTGCATAGCAACCGTAATAAGTATTACATTATTACTGTGTGACCTGTCACTTTTCCCTGGTGAACTTACGTGAATATCAACTATTCGTCACAGGTCGCGCTTTTACGAGAAAATTGTAATTTACTTACACACCCTAAATTCGAACCCGTTTGAAAGCGTGTGACTCGTGTGGTATGCCTGTTCGTTTATATTACCTCGTTTATCTTTGATTTAAGAGCTAGAAGACTTTTACGCCTAAAAAACTGTCCCCTATTGTTTGTTTCAAATTACCTCTGAAGCTGGCTACCACTTTTCACATCCCGAGAGGCACTTGACAATGCTATATTTGGTAATGACATTAGGTATGGGTGAACCTATGAGAAACACAATGATGGTAATGACTTGGCTTCTTAATTAAGCTACGTTTAGACATGCAAAGGGTGTATTGCAACATAAAGTTTGCCTGTCGTTCATCAGCTCTTCAGGTCCACAGTCCTACATTCCGTACTTTACTTATCCGAGCGGACAGAATAGTCGTCTCAGGATTGTTTGGTAAAGAAACTATTCTAAAACATTCACTGCTCAGTTGACTGCTGATTGAGGATTTACTTGACCCCCTTTTTATTCATAATTGTATCGGCTTCATTGAACACATTCGTCTAATTTATCAAGTGTGCATCGGAACGGATAAATGTCAAGCTAAAACGCTCTTCGCCTGAAATGCCGGACAGCGATTGTGTGAATGTAGCAGCTTTCGTCTGGTTTTTCATCGTACCACTGTTCAGACGATTCGCAAAACGTTCAGAAATCGTGCTCCATTCTTTCAGAGTCACACACGTCATGACAAACGAAGCATTTGGAATTGACCTGGATCGCCCCAATATGAATGTGACATTTATACTTGTTTGTCGTGATAAGAAATATGCTTGGCTTTCCAAGTCCCGAGGACGCTCTGAATTCAATGCAGCAGCTGTGCTAGGTGACCTTACTCGACACGACTTATATTTTACCGATTCACTTGCTTGGCGACAAGCAACCGTCGGTATTTTCGTCCTCCAGAAGCTTGGCAACGCTAGTTAAATGAGGAACAATGATGACCAATGGGAGGCTTGCCTATGTGTAAGATGCGACCATGGAGGCTGGTAGGTTAGTCGATGGTGCACACGCTCGGTGTTTAGTGGAGTTGAAGGTCTCAGTAAATTTCGGGTATTGTGAGAGAATTTTCAGGAATCTGTTCTTCCCGACACCTCTCCCTTTTAACAGTTTAACTTAAGATTGTGGGCGCGGATCAAGTTGAAAATGTTCCACCCGTTTTCTGGAGCGACTGGCACGGCATCTCGGTTGCAGCAATGGGTCCGCCTTGGACGGTACATTGAAGCGATGGCTATTGGTGCTGATCTTGAGAGGTAAGAGGTTTCAAGCAGTAGGTTGCTTTGGGATTGGGCACCCAGTCGGCCGTAGCTGGCTGACATGTCGTTTTCATATCAGTGATCTTCCCCAAACGCTATAAATCACCTTACCGATTCGTTTGAGGATGGCTCCAACAGTCCAGTTGCTGTGCTCACGGCGATAGTCCCTCACAACCACACGGTTTTTAGACCGGAAAGTTAGTTTCCCTCCAGTCGGTGTGTGAAAACATGGATGTCGGTAGGATAGCGTCATGGGTAACTCTCAACCGTCTGTTCACCATGACCTCTGCTGGAGAGCGACTGTCCGGAGGCTGTGCATTAGGAGTTGCTCCATAACTCAGCAGCAATGTATCCAAGACTTTTGCCGTCGTCCTTTCCCCTTCTGCTTTTGTCATTGCGCGCTAAAATGTGTCTACGAACCGTTCAGTTTGACCGTTGGATTAGAAGTGCAATGGTGGGGAAGTAACATGTGTGATGCCGTGTCTCCGAACGGATTCACCAAACTGATAGCATGTGAAATGAGTACTGTTTTCGGACACAATATTTTCCGGGATACCGACATTGAAAACAAATGCCGCACTTTAGTGATGGTTGCCACTGTTGTTGTCTCAGGCATAACATGTTTCATCGGCAACGGTTGCTTTAGACTGTGGTTCTGACTGCTTTTGTCTGCTTCGTGACCTCCGGGTGTAGCTGCGTCTTCGAAGAGCTTTTCGCGTCCGGCACTGGCTTTCCTTGTGTCCGTATCGACTGCACACCAAACATTTTTCCTTTTTATAGAAACACAATCGCACAAAATGCTATTTGCCGCTTTGCCAGCATGATCAGTGGGCCTTGCTCCGTTCGGATTTGCCGCCACGGAAGGTTGTCTTGGTCGCCACGATGTTGTCTTGGCAATGTTGAAAGCAGGGTTGGATGAGGATCTCTACAACATGGCAATGTCATGTTTACAGTTCAAAATTCTCTGGCACTCATGGGCAATGGACTGCAACATTATCTCGGGAGTTTGTTTAATCTTGCTCAATAGTCTCGCTCTGTTATCACTCTCTGCATATGACTTAAGGCCACATTTGAAAATAAAACATTTGAACTGGTCTTCCGTCATGGTATATAACTTGGATTGTTCGCATTCAAGACTGACTCTACGGGTATAAGTTATACAGTCTTCAAATTCCTTTTTCTCCAGTTTCATATATTGATAGTGAATATTTAACGGAGGCGAGCGTTAACGGAAAACTGTTGACAGTTGCTGCACGTTTTTTTATCAAAATTGAGATCTCGCGTGTTCTTTGGCAGGATGAGTTTGGAATACCGTATGTGCTGCGTTATATACCAAGCTTATCGAGCAATAAACGCACTCTCCATTTGTTGTCTTGATGTACGGTCGTGCAACTCTGTATCGGTCCCTTGGCTTCCTGCTCCGTCCACTATGGTATATCAAAAGGCGCGGTAGCTCTACACAGCCCCTTTATAGAGACAAAGGAAAATCATTACAACTGTATTTATAGGGTAGTCACAGAGTGTTCCACAAGGTCGTGCCAGAATGTCCGTGAGGGGGCGAGAAGCGTCGAGTCAACGGTGCTTGACTCGGATTGTCTGGCATTCTGACCAATCAGGGCATGCCTTCGTTTGGCCCGTGTCCTGCACGTGACATCCGTATAAATGATGTGCTGTTCGGTTATTAGGGACGGCTGGCTCCCGAACACCATGCATCATCAGTTCGACTGTGAGATTGTCTTCGTAACGTCCGATTCACAAACCGAAGGTTAGGCCAGAATCAGGGTCATAATGGAACATTCTGGTGCTATTGGCAATCGAGCCGGCTGAATTTGCATCTGGAGCGAAATTCGGTGATTGAATTTTTTGCTGCTGCGTCGAGATTTCTACCAAATGCAATCTCGGCGCTTCAAACGGATTTTGTTGCTGCAATTCCTTCAACAATTCAGCAGTTATTGTCACGGTTCTGTGGGTTCTGGCCAATATGTTATATTTAATTGCTGTCTCCGCTCCAGTGCCTGATGCCGAAAAAAAGATTTGCTAACAATAAACAGCCTTGTTGGGAACAACGAGTGAGTGCGAAAATACAACGCCTTCGCGCTATATATTCGGGGGGGGGGGGCATTGTGTGCAATTGATCCAAGCCTGTCTCGCACTGTCTGACTTGGATTCAGGACTGTCTGATCGGCGTTTACTGGAGTCGAGTTCCTCAGTAAATTTCGAGTATTGTGGAAGGATCTTCAGGAATATGGACATCCTGACTCCTAACCTTCATTTAATCCCACGTGATCTTTTTGTTCATGTTGGACCGTGGCACAACCTGGAACCTAGGTGTTTCTAGAGGCATCTGTGCTCCATTCATCCTTTCGGTGAAATGAGACAGACTAAAGATGCAGAATGAACTAATCCAGATTGGAAAAAGTTAGTGCACAAATTGGTTAGACCGAACGAGTCAGTATCTGAAAGCTCTTCGCTGCCACTACGTCACCCCCCAATGTGGTTTTGGGGTTTCATGCAGAGCTAACCACCTGATGGGCGAAATTCCTTGATTCTGTCCTACTCTCTGACTGGTCATAGATTCCTTCTCTTGTTATCCAAACGGAAACCCAGGGGAAACTGTTCTTTACTGTTCATCGAATGGTTTGCCTAGACCTATTGCGTGAGCAACGAAAGGTAATATGTGATTGGAAAACTCATCGGTAGACCGACCGTTGTGGCTTCTCAAACCGGTCTGTACATGTGTGTGCTCCTGTGCGCGCGCTTCAGTTGACTACTTGAATGAATGAATGATGAGCGAGCGGCGAGGGAACTGAAAAGTTAGTTCGAGGAATTGCGCGTGGTTTCACGCGGTGCGGCTTTAAAATTGTTGCTTCGTCCTAATTTGACATTAGAGCCTCTTCACAGTGCTTGCTATAGGCGACCTTTGTTCAGCACATTCATTTGAAGAATATCAGAAAAGAGAGATTCCGTTCAGTCTCATGTGAAAGCCAAACTGATATGCAAATGAGTGTATTTGCTTAAATATAGGAATATTTTTCCAGTGTTCCGAGTTATCTGACTTCGAATAGCTCTGCTGCAAATGTTGATTTTCCCATTGTTTACGGCCAAGCGCTTTTAGCTGCTTAGACCCTGATTTCCGAGTTCGACCAACATGATCTAATTTAACCCCAGTTTTCGTGGTACGCAAAAAATGGCGTGCCTGCTGCGGCTTTAACAAATTTGATATTTATCTTGGAAACATTTGCAGAGGTAAAATATTCGGACTCGAAAGTTCAAAGCTCACGTAAAAACTCAGTGGAAATATGTGAAAAGAGTCTACCTCAAGAACTGGCAACTAAATGTAATGTAGACAGCGTTTACGTCAGCCGATGCAGTAATGTTCGTCGCCGGATTTTTCAAAGTATCACCACATGTTGGCACATCGTATTCAACTTACAAGAGGCTGCGCAGGCGTGGAAACGCCCAAAGAGAAAAGGCCGTACGAATCTCCGATTGATTTTAAAATTCCAATTTCACAGCTTTGACTATCAGGTCGATTTTCATCTTGTTTTTTGACAGCTATAACAGTAAATTACCTTCGCTTACGTAGGCAGTAATGTTTTGAAACGGACATTAAAGGGGATCTACTTTAAACTAGGTAATGACTAATAATCCATCTGTGGTTAGGCATTTGGGAACATCTTCATTCAGTCTGACTGAAGTGGTAGAAAGTTTGAAAAAAACTAGATCCCTATTATTTGTTTAAGTGGAGAGAATGGAGGGCTTATGTTAGAATATGTTGGTATGTATCCTACCATCTTCAGTCACGAAATCAGGAACGCACGTTGTAACCACAACGTGTCCTACTTACAGTGGCAATTGCAATTCACCGATTTTTATTCTGTCCGACAAATCGAAATGGCCAGGACTTTCTAAGCCCCACGTTACCAGCCGTCCTGAATTTTCTTTAAAATTAAAAGGCATATACTGCACTAGAATGATTTTCAACCCACAAACAAAGACCGTGTTACCATATCCGGTTCAGTATCGTTCCCTTGAAATCACGTTTTTGGGTCTTTGTTGTACGGTGAAATTCGAAATTAGCTCATTAGGTTGATCCGATGGCCAGGTCCTTATGTGTCTGTCAGTTAACGAGGCAATGATTACAGTTTGATCTTTATACCGGAAACGACTTGACTTTTTTGTGTTTTTTTCTAGATATGAGGCTGTGTTGTCACCGTAGTTGTCCTCGTAGCATCGGCGAAACTCAGAGACTCGCGACAAACAGGGCGGCCAGCCACCATTTCATTGGTAGTGTGAGGAGATTTGAGATTTTTGTGGGATTTCGTCCTGTAAGTAAAGCCAATCTATGCTAAAAAGCCGAGAAGTACTGTACAGCTGTTTCATCCTTATTGGGAATCATCAGCAGTGCCCATCTCACGAAACTCCCAAAGAATCTCGAACCCGCGACCTCCCGGCTAGTAGTTTGAACACTTAACCGTTCGGCCACGAGTGGCTGATCAGCAGTGTGGTTAACTCGCACTTAGACAGGATATAGCGCCGCTCATCCTTCAATCACGGGATCCACATCACGCGGTCACACGTGTTGACTGGCTCCTCGAGCAACGACTTCTCAGATAGAAGTTTCATCACTTTCGTGTAGCGTAGGTTCCTTGACTTTATCTCCTAGCCAAAATTTCCAGTCTCACAGGAATGTGGATTTTGGTGACAGATAAGTGTTCGTGAAACGTCATTATCAAGTGTGATCATCCGGAAATTTCGACTGTTCGCTCATTTGCCACGGGTGTCACACATCACCCGACCGACCAGTAGCGCCTTTAGCGACCAGAATGCAAACATACTAAATGTATCTGCTACCATTTTTACCTCAAAATCGATAGCGTTTTTGTAAGTAGTGAATAAATGTTCTTTGTTTTATCAGTGCTATGCAAGGATGTATGAATAAATTCTTGAAAGCTAAGAATTGTTCACCGCCGGAATTAATGGACAGTGCTTATGTCGAGAATCTCCAAGGTTTATGGAAAGCTGCCACCAGCAGATATCTAGACTGTAAGCGTTCTGAGTAAGGCGACATTTACATTGCACTCACATTTGAAATCGATTCTTTAAACACCATAAAGCAAATAAATGACGCGTGATTTGGTGATTGCTTTCTGTTTTTTAACAATTCAGAAGAAAGCCCAACAGACTGTGATGGTCCAAAGGCGTAGCTTGTGTCCTGTCAGGATAGAGAACGGCTTAAACCAGTATATTCTAAGCGTCCTGACGCTAACTCCACTATGTTGCTTGAATATGAATGAACACGATGTCATTTACACTACAAACGCGCTGATTGTTTCGTCCGATGCAGTATGGTCTACCAAATAGGACTTTCTAAGGTCAATTTACGGAATAAGGCTGGACGATTTTGGTGCTGTTTAGAAAAATTTAAAATTTAAAAGGAAAACGAAACCCTTTTAATGCAATCGCATCATTTGTTCACGCAGCGCACAACCTTGAATGTAGCAAGAACAGAATGATGTGGCTAATACTAAACTTCCGCAACTTTGCCTTCAGAAACACGTCGATAAAGCCTATTCATCCTGAAAGAAGTAATGACAGAGTATAGTGGGTAACTAAACTAAAATACCCGTGCCACCGACATAGACGTACGCTGGTCCTTATGTGTACTTTAACATAGACCCAAGTACCTCAAGTGAACCGAGGACATTTAGTTCATGGAAAGTCAGATGGGAAATGAAATAAACAAAATGTGAGGAAGTTGGGGAATCCCCTCGTCTGATTGGTTGTCTGTGTTCTTAAGATGGGCCAAGCCCTATTTTTCAATCCGGTATTGCAAAAGTTTGACAACTGGTGAATAGCTCAAATTTGAATGACATGGATTCTTCTGTTCAGAGGCGGAGGCACCGTACTAGAAAAACCACACGTATTTTTCACCCAAGTCAACTTTTGCTTACACTGTTCTCTGGAATGACATGCCAAGGCATCAATCAGATGCTCTTTTGAATTTGTAATAGCTGCACAGTCGCATTATTAAACGTTTCCAGGTTGATCTTTTTTTACAACAATTCACAAATTCAGTTTTCAGCAGCTCAACGTGGCGATTGCCCTATTTAACAAAGTAGATTATGCTTTCGAGGAAAGAGATGGCAGTTGTAGGTAGTTTGAAGGCTGACACATCGATAACAACGAGTAGTTCTCAGTGTTATCGAGACATCTCAGCAATGCGGCATCATCATTCGCGCGCCTGAATCAGTTATGCACGTTTTTGTGGGTCTCTCCCGTGTTTATGGTTTATGACCCACTGGATCGAGAATCAAAACAAGAAATAGTAATCAATCATCGTCAATCAGTGAAACGTTTCCAAGGTGCGTCGGTTTGTTTATGAAGACAGTTTTCGACCATGAACCAGGCAGGTGTGTGCTAGCATGAGTGGAAAAGAGGTGAAATACACTTCTCTGTCCCTATCGACGCCTAACTGCATTGGTCATCAACCACCCATTCCTTCATGCCTTTGTATGTGTAAACATTTCTAACACCCAACAATTTACTGTAGAAAAATTGTGTCCCTAATATTTGCGTGACAACTGAACTTAGTCGGAATAGAATCACCCTTTCGGTTGTTCCGCAAGGACAAACCCATTCTATAGGAAGTTGAACTGTTTGCTTGAATTAAGAGCTTCAGATATCGAAGGAGTTGACTATCGGAATATTGCTGGCTGACCCATGATCATGTGTTTTACACTGCAAAAGGAGTTCCAGCTTGTTTGAAGGCTTAGCACAGGCAGAAAGGCAACCGGCTGTGGATATAGCCAGTTGCCGTTAGTGAGCCTGTAGCAATAGTATTATAGGTGTTCCAGCTACATTTGTCAAATTTTTACGCACGTTGCACACGTGCAGGAACCAAACACGTTTAGAGGTCCAAGATAACCAGCTAAAAGATCCTAAGAAACTACTCTTAACGCTATATAAACTTACTGACACCGCACTGCTAACTATTAAGTGTGCTTTTCCGTAT